TCTGAGAAGGAATTCGAGTTGGCTGAATAAATTTGCATAAGTAACAAGGAGCCAAATGTTAATAGCCAAGACAATGGGGAAAATGTGTCTAGGGCATGTCAGAGACCTTCATGGTAGCCCCTCTTATCACAGGCCCAGAGGCCTTGGAGGGAAAAATAGTTTCCTGGGCCACGCCCAGGGGCCAACTTCTCTGTGCAGCCTCAGGACTTGGTTCCATGCATCCCAGCGGATCCAGCACCAGCCATGGCTAAAAGGAGCCCTCAAGGAGAACCTCTGCTACAGCAATGTGGAAAGAAAATGTGGGGTTGTAGACCCCCAATAGAGTCCCCACTGGGGCACTGCCTAGTGGAGCTGTGAGAAGAGGGCACCCATCCTCCAGACCCCAGAAAGGTAGATCCACTGACAGTTTCCACCATGTGCCTGGAAATGCTGCAAGTATACAACACCAGCCCATGAAAGCGGACACAGGGGCTGTACCTTGCTGAGCCATAGGAAGGCAGGGACAGCTGCCCAAGACCAAGACTGTGGGTGCTCGCCTCTTACATCAGATGCCCTGGGGTGGCCTACATGTGAGACATAGAGTCAAAGGAGATTATTTCAGAGCCTTAAGATTTAATGACTGCTCTGCCAAGTTTCAGACTTGCATGAGGCCTGTAGCCCCTTTATTTTGGTCAATTTCTCCCATTTGGACCGGAAACATTTGCCCAATGCCTGTACCCTCATTGTATCTTAGAAGTAACTAACTTTATTTTACAGGGTCATAGGTGGAAGGGACTTGGCTTGTCTCAGATGAGACTTTGGACTTGGTCTTTTGAGTTAATGCTGGAATGAGTTAAGACTTTGGGGGACTGTTGAGAAGGCATGATTGGTTTTGAAATGTGAAAAGGACATGAGATTTGGGAGGGTCTGGGGCAGGATGATATGGTTTGGTTATGTCCCCACCCAAATCTCATCTCGAATTGTTGTCCCCACGTGTCAAGGTAGGGACCTGGTAGGTGACTGGATCATGGGGACGGTTTCCCCCGTGCTGTTGCCTGATAGTGAGGGAATTCTCCCCAGATCTGATGGTTTTAAAAGTGACAGTTTCCCCTGTGCCCTCTCTCTCCTACCGCCTTGTGAAGAAGGTGCCTGCTTCCCCTTCACCTTCTGCCATGACCATCAATTTCCTGAAGTCTCCCCAGCCATGGAGAACTGTGAGTTAATTAAACCTCTTGTTTATATATTACCCAGCCTCAGGTAGTATCTTCATAGCAGTGTGAAAATGGACAAATACAGTTGGCTGTGGGAATTTGTGGATATGGAGGGCCAGTGGAGAATGAATGCAAGTGGAAGCAGGCAGCGGGCAGAAAGCAAAATGCAAACTTCACATACCTGAGTTCAAACTCCAGGTGTGCATCTTGGAAGTTGCATGACTTTGACAAGTCATTTAACCTCTCTCGATTTTGGGTTTCCTCACCTGTAAAATGGGATTATTGTACCTTCTTCTTAGTATAATAGCTAAATGAGACAATGATAAAAAGTACTTCGCTTAGTGCTTAGTACATAGTAACCAGAAGAGAAATGTCAGTCATTAATATGATTATTGTTTCATCTTAAGAGATTTCCCTGTAATTCATTGACCTTGGACTTGCCTCTCATTTTCCACAATGATTTTCTTGCTGTTACTCCCACAGATCTTCACAGAATATTATGCAAACTCTGACAGAAAAATAGTAAAGTGATCCTGCCCTCATTTTCTTTTTGAGTCCCACCTAACTGAATGACAAACATTTATTAATCTTCATGTCACTGTGCTAGGCTGAGTTAGATTGGGGAAAAAGGGTGGTTTGAGTAAAAGAAACCCTGCCTTCAAGAATTGCATGATCTCATTTGGGAACAAAGGGAAAACAGCACTAACTTCTCCTAACTGAGCTGCAAAAGTTAGGCTGTAATCCACATTGCAATGATGAGTAATTCCCAAAGAAATGTATACTGTATTGCCAAAACTGCCACAGAAACATATCTTTGGTATTTTTAGATATCTCTGAGTTAAATGTCCAGTGTGTTTTAAGAAATGATTGATTCTTTGAGAACTGTAAAGGCATCAAAAAGTAGATCTCATATAGGTTGGTGTTGGTTGTTTTTGAGATGGAGTCTTGCTCTGTCACCCAGGCTAGAGTGCAGTGGCACAATCTCGGCTCATTGCAAGCTCTGCCTCCCAGGTTCATGTCATTCTCCCGCCTCAGCCTCCCGAGTGGCTGAGACTACAGGTGCCCGCCACCACGTCCGGCTAATTTTTTGTATTTTTAGTAGAGACGGGGTTTCACCGTGTTAGCTAGGATGGTCTTGATCTCCTGACACCGTGATCCGCCCGCCTCAGCCTCCCAAAGTGCTGGGATTACAGGCATGAGTCACTGCACCTGGCTAGGTTGATGTTTAAAGTAAATTATTTTGAGCTGTGTACACGTATTAACAGATGAATGAATCATACAAGCATGAGATGCTAAAATGCAGATGGCGGAGGAAAATATATAAAAGATTTTCTTGTTCACATCCAGTGAAGTGGTACTCATTAAAAGTGAATGAGTAAAGTAAGCCTGGCTCAGAAATAATGGAAAGATCTTTTTCCCCAAATAAAGTTTTATTTTTTTCTCATTATAAAAGTAATATATGTTCAATGCTAAAATATATATATATATAAAAATTGTAAAGAAACAAGGAAAATCACACATAATCACCCTCTCTAGAGATAACAACATCCTGTTTCTCCCTCCAGACTTTAAGCATATCTTAATTACAACTTCTTTTTCAAAAACGGGATATCCTGGACATACTGTTTGATACCTTTTCTCCCATTCTTCTAGGTATACTATTCGTCCTACCATTTAACATGAAACCTCCAAATCGAGGTCACAGTGCAGTTTTCTGAGGTTTATTCCCTGACACTATCACATCCAAAAGGGAAATGCAAGACCCAAAGCTTGGGTTAGAAGATCCCTACAGTATTTTACCGCTATCATATTCCCACATGTGCTCTGCCTAGACCAGCTAGGGAGCAGGAGAAAGTTTCTCAGCAGACGGGGCTTCCCAGGGGTGGGCAAAGTTTACCTAGCAAGTCTGACTGACTTGAGGAGAGAATCAGTCTGCTAGAATCATACGCATGCTGAGGACGGCACGCTACACACCTGAGTCTGATAAGGCACTGCTGCTTCAGCCCCACGGCCTTTCAGAGGCGTGGAGAGAAGAGGCAGCCTTCAGGGAAGAGTTGAAAGCAGAGCCCCTCGGCTCACAGTGGTCCAGCACAGCATCCTCTTCTGCCCCTGCATTCTGGACTCAGAAACCGCTCTGGGTTGGTAATTAAGCTCTTCTGTTCAGCCTGTCATTTTCCCAAAGCAGAGATTTATCACCCTGCTTAAACAGGACTATTAATCTGCATAATTTCTCACAACATTTAAGGCACATAAAAGTTGCTGTGCTGATGGAAGAAATAGAGTTGCTCAAAAGATAAATTTTATACACTTCACAATTTTGCTTAAGGAATGTGGCATAAAGGAATAAAGACTACATCACCAGGCAGTTTTAATGTGTGAACTTAAGAGAGCAGAGTTAATATGCTGATTAATAGTCCCAGCTACAGGAAAAAGAAAGATGGCTGGCAGGAGAAAACAGCAATGAATGTTCTACTGTTCCTGGGCAAGGAGAGGACAAAGCTAAAAAATTCCATCTTTCCTCAACCAAAATGCACTGTAAGTATTAAAAAGCTACTCAAGTGTGCAGAAAATAACCTCAAGACAAAAAAGTCATGGACCTATAACATAGCTTGTGAATTCTGAACCTAATAAAGTCCAATATGACCTAAGCTGCAGTTAGCACTACACCTGTACTCTTAGGCAGAGAGGACAGAACATGTAGGCTGGGGAGCAAATACATAGGCTGGGTCAGAGGCCAAACTGGAGACAGAGTGGCCTAGATAGTATGAGAGACTTCTACCATTTGAACAAAACAACCTGCACAGTGGCAGCCAACCTCTGGGACACAGCAGCAAACCGGCAGGCAGACCTCAGGAGAGCTGATGCAAACGTTAAACAGCAAAAGATGCATGAAAAACTGAGTTCATTTCATCTTTATTGGTAAATTATTAGTATTCTAAAATTTCCTGAATCTTGTAATAAAAAGTAAGATTACATGATGTACCTAACAATCCATGTGGAAAAATAAAAGGAAAATGTAGGACCTAAGACTCTAAGGGAGGCACTGACAGAGGTTGTTAAGAGGATCCTCTTCTACCTTCCCCAAGAAGAGTTCTGCAGAAGACTCTAAAAGGATAGATAAGAGGGGCAGAGAAAGATAGAACAGAACCACAGCTCCTGTGGCATCACCTGGAGATGAACGATTTCACCTCTAATTATATTTCAGGTCCTTATTGCTGGTAAACTATGTTTCATAAATGCTACTAGTGAAACTGTCTGAAAACAAAAGATATGAAGAAGGTAGGTTAGTCTTAAAGATGTTTAGGTTACACACTAACCACTGCTCAGCAACCCCCTTCAATTTGCCTGAAGCTTAGAATCCCATTGGGATGATTCATCTATCAATGAGTGGCTATTCTGTGTAATAGAGACTTACTGAGTGGCTATTCTGTGTAAAGCACTGTTTAAAGGGCAGGCAAACAGAAGATTCAGTCCTTGCCTTCATGTCTACAGAGCAAAACGGTAAGAAAATCAGTATTTACAAACATGGGATAAATGTCTCACATACAGTGATGCTCAGTAAATTCACTGAGTGGACAAATCAATATTGTAAGAGAAGTGTACACAAAAACCAGGAGACCTTCCCAAAGGATATTTATCCTTTTGCCATAGCACAAAAGAGCCTGAAAGTTTACTATTTTGTATGCCTGTACATAGAAACCACCCCTAAAAGAATAAACAACTAGTAAATGCTGTAACAGATAGTAGCTACCAAGATTATACCACAAAAAGGAGAGTGAGAACGACAGTCAGAAAAAAGATGATCACTCATTTTATGTAAAAGGGTATTTTAATTCTTGTCCTTGGGAGCGATAAAGATTATACATGACTTGGAAATGAGACTGTACCCAATGATGGCCGAAGAAGAATCATCCTTTCTACTCCTTCTCTTTCGTCTGGTCACTCAGAAATATAATATTATCTGTAAAAAAGCCAAAATGTAAATATTAATTTCAGAACTCTTTCTCCATCTCATTCAATAATTCTCCTCTAATACATACAACTTTAGTGCTGGTCATTAAAAGGATTTTAGACAAATTTTCAAAATATTAAATAACTTGCTATGCTCATGAGAGGTATACATACAGTTGGCATAAGTGGAGCTAAAAGTTAGGCACTGGCTGCTTTTCTAATAATTCAGATTTTGTTAGAAGAGGTGGGATATTTCTTGTCTTCCCTGAAAAGAAGATAAAGCCTTCTTAGAAACAATTTCCTGCAAAAGAACTGGTCACAAAATGGGATGCTTGCAATGGTCAGGCAGATGCCATGACACTAGGCAGCACATCCTCAGAGAAAAGGATAAAAGTATATCACATTCTACACTCTGGAGGTCTAGAGGAAAGGGTAAGAGTCCATATGTGGCCCTGTTAGCAATGACAGGATTTATTTATGTTTTTAACTTTAAAAATTCAAATAGAAGAAGTTTTATTTTTAAATTATAAAACAGAATAATTTCTTTTTTTCCTTTGGAGATGGAGTCTCTGTCACCCAGGCTGGAGTGAAGCAGTGTGATTTCAGCTTACTGCTGCCTCCTGGGTTCAAGCGATTCTCCCGCCTCAGCCTCTCCAGTAGTTGGGATTATAGGTGTGCATCACCACACCCAGCTAATTTTTGTATTTTTAATAGAGACAGGGTTTCACCATGTTGGCCAGCTGGTCTTGAACTCCTGACCTCAAGTGATCCGCCCGCCTTGGCCTCCCAAAGTGCTGGGATTACAGGCGTGAGCACTGCACCTGACCCAGAATAATTTTAATATACCAATTCTTGGAAACATTTTTATGAATCAACATCACAGAGTTAGCATTTTTATCCAAAAATATCAAATGTTGCTCTTAAAATGCTATTCCAGAGGGAGTTAGCTAAAGATAAACAAAAGAACAGAGGCAAGTAGTAGTCACCCTTCAGTATCCATGGGGGGACTGGTTCCAGGACCTCTATGGATACCAAAGTCCACAATGCTCAAGTCCCTGATATAAAATGGTATAGTAATCACATATAACCTATGCACTTCCTCTTGTATACTTTAAATCATCTCTAGATTACTTACAACATCTAACACAAGGTAAATGGTATGTTGACAGCTGTTACACTGTATTGTTTTGCTTGTATTTTTTGTTGTTGTATTATTTTTATTGGTTTCTTTTTTTCAAACATATTCAATCTGTGATTGGTTGAATCCACAGATGCAGAACCAAGGGACATGGAGGAATGACTGCATTTCCTTTATAATTCCAAAAGATCTAGATTCTTGTAACGATAAAATTATCCAGCAAGGACTGAATATTTGTTCATGACCATAATCTTCCAAAAACTAGAATGTTTCGGTCTAGAATGGTTACTTCAGAAGAGACTATTCAAATATCACTGTGGAAAAAGCTAAGAGTGCCATCCACTGGTGGTGATTTTTAAGTTACAGATAGGATCCCTAGGAGAAAAAAAAAAATCACCAATATAACAGATCAACCAATAAGCTCTATTTTCTTCAATTCAAATGTCACTAAAGAGCTCAATTTTGCCATCAGACATAAACCTAAAGTAAACTGACTGTGCTAGTGGAACCTAGTGACAAGAAAAAAAAACAGCAGATCATCTGAAATGCTTCCATTTGGCTTGGTTACTAACAACACAATAATCCGAACAATCTAAATTTTGCCCACACTCTTGGTTTACATTGGGACCCACAGGAGGGTAGGAAAATACCTACACTGCTTTTCAAGGTTAATAAACTTTCAAAGAAACTTAGCAGTAAGAAAACATATGAGCATTCTATACAACAAATTGTAAATTATTAATAAGGTATGGTGGTTAAGACATGAACTCTGGAGCAAAGGAAAGAAGAAAGATAAAAGCAAAATCTAAGAGACTTAAGGTAGAAACCATGTAATATAATGTATGAATGTTTATGAAGTAATCAAGGAAATCTGAACACTATGATATTTAGTTAAAAAATTAACAGTAATGTATCAATATTAGGTGTGATAATAGCACTGTAGTTACATTTTCAAAAAGACACCCTATCTTCTAGAGATCCCTATGGAAATTTATGAATAAACTTATGTCTAGCATCTGTTTCAAAATAATCCAGGTGGACGACAAGTGGCTGGAGGCATGGATATAACACTGTCCATAAGCTGATACTGAAGTGAAATGGTAGGAGTTCATTTCACCATTCTTTCTGCTCTTATATATGTTTCACATTTTCCATAGTAAAAAAAAATTTTTTATTTATTTATTTTTTTTGAGAGAGTCTTGCTCTATTGCCCAGGCTGGACTGCAGTGGTGTGATCTCAATTCGCTACAAACACTGCCTCCTGGGTTCAAGCAATTCTCATGACTCAGCCTCCTGAGTAGCTGGGACTACAGACACACATCACCAGACCCAGCTAATTTTTGCATTTTGTGTAGAGACAGGGTTTCACCATGTTCACCAGGCTGGTCTTGAACTCTTGACTTCAAATGATCCACCTGCCTCAGCCTCCCAAAGGACTGGGAGGTGTTAGCCACTGCACCCAACCCAAAAATTAATTTTTAAAAATATTATCTAATTTGGGCATATCTCAGAAGTTCATAAACACAGAGACATTACTATAGTAAAATTCAGTTTATTGCCATGTATTTATTTTAAAAAGGTTTCTTATTTCTTAGTATTTATATCCATAAAAACAAACAAAAGCACAAAAAAAAGCACAAAAAAAATCCATAAAAACAAAAGCACAAAATTCACAGTGTCTAATTTTAGCAATTTACTCAAGAAGTGAAAAAAGCACCACTTATCTCATTTAAAGACATATTTCCAATACAATTTAAATACATTAAAATTATTTTGGTCAATTAGGTACTAAAAACAACTTTAATGATAAGTCAATTGAGAATTTGTCATAGAATTTTTTTAAATATTTTTAAGTTTCTTTTATGTATGCATTTTTGTTACAAATAGGGTAATAAAAAATTCTTAACTATACCATAAATTATTAAGATACACTTCTGAGGGGAATATAAAAACAGTAAAACAAGTTCAAAGAAAAAAGAATGATGTAAAATTTCCAAATGCTGAATCGGTATTTTTTACAAGATAGCAGGTATCACATTGCTATGCTATTTAGATTCCATTAATACATTTAAAAATAACACAATTTTATATTGAAAAAAATGTCTTTATGTCACTTGCAGACATCCAGAGGGGTATATTATTTTCAAAATTCTTACAGCATTTTCAAAATTCTTACAGCATTTTCAAAAATTTAAAAACTCTTTCCTAGGGGATATCTTGTTAATCTTCTTTAACCTTTACGTGTACATCTTTTCTATGTTGTACTGTATTTTGTTTAAAGAGAATATTAGGCCGGGCATAACGGCTCATGCCTGTAATTCCAGTATTTTGGGAGGCTGAGGTGGGAGGATCATTTGAGCCCAGCAGTTTGAGACCAGCCTGCGTAACGTAGTGAAACCTCATCTCTACAAAAAAATTGACAAATTAGCCAGGCGTGGTGGTGTACACCTGTAGTCCCAGCTACTCAGGAGAAGGCTGAGGTGGGAAGATCACCTGAGCCTGGGGAGGTACAGGCTGCAGTAAGCTGTGATTACACCACTGCACTAAAGCCTGGTTGACAGAGGAAGACACTGTCTCAAAACAAAAACAAAAAAAGAGAATATTAAAAACTTCCTAGCTGGGCGCGGTGGCTCATGCCTGTAATGTCACAACTTTGGGAGGCCGAGGCGGATGGATCACCTGAGGTCAGCAGTTCAAGACCAGCCTAACATGGTGAAACCCCATCTCTACGAAAATTACAAAAATTTGCCAGGCGGTACGGCACACACCTATTACCCTAGCTACTCAGGAGGCTGAGGCAGGAGAACCACTCGAACCCGGGAGACAGAGGTTGCAATGAGCCAAGATCGTGCCATTGCACTCCAGCCTGGGCAACAGAGTGAGACTCTGTCTCAGAAAAAATAAAATTAAAAAAAAAATCTTAATTTCAAATAGAAATTTCAGCATACTAAGTACCAAAGAGGTTCTGAACAAATCTGCACACTCACATTAGTGTAATTCTTATCTTGGCATATGCTTCTTCCTGGTTAGGGCTAGAGCCTTCCGAAAGACAATACATTCAGTTTTGGTAATTCTCAACAATAAGTACTGGGATGGACAATTCAGTTTTAGGCTTTATTCAAAAGTTACTGGTGACTAAAACTGTGAGTATAAAAATAATTTTTTAAAGGAATGGATAAATGTAGAGACTCTTACCATGTAGAGAAATCAGTGTCATGGACATCTTCTAGTGAGTTGCCTTACCTCCTAAGTACTAGTACTCTTAACCCTAGTTAGTTACAGTGTAGCCAAGCTTTTGAAAAAGAAAAGGAGAAAACGGAAAAACAGCTATTTTCACAAGCTTACCAGCTATGATAGTTGTTGCTTGTCGCCTCACATTATTTTTATCCATGTATTCACCATAGTCTATTTTCCCTTCCAAATAAATTCGAGACCTGATATAAATAAAATGTACAGTTTTTAGTTGAGATCCTAATATGCGTTATAAGAGTCAGGTCGGGGTGGTACTGAGTATATGACAAGGATGAAATATATAATCGTACATAACCTAATTTTTGCTACCACTTCTCAAGGTTCAGGATTAGAAGTACTGAAACAGAGTGTACAAGCAGACTGGGTAACATCTAGGTAAAACAGACAATGTTTTCATCTGTCAGCTATTTCTCTTATGGAAGTTAAAAAATGAAACAAAACAGTTCAAAGGGCAATTTAGTGGCAACCTTTAAATCTCTAGGAATAATTTACAATGTATCATTTTCCTTGACCTTTGATTTTGGAGTCCCTAACAGACTTAATTTTCATTTATTTATCAATTCTTTTCTATGACCTTAGAAACTTACATGATTAAAATTCAAAATATGAATTTGTAGCTTAGTATAATATTACCCTGAATTAATCACTAAGACTATTTCTACACTGTATCAGCTCAGAGGTAATTACTAAGACTATTTCTACACTATCTAGAAGGCTAAACTAGGTAACAAACCTAACCATGATTTTCAAGAGTGGAAAAATGACAATAGCACCAGTTTTGAGAGTCTACCACCACCAAAAAAGTACAACACAGAAAGATCAGTGAAATGTCAGGTGCTCCCCACCCCCACACACACCCATCAATCAGTAAGTGGGAGTGCAGACAGTTCCCTTGAAATACCTTATATGTGTGTGTGTATGTGCACATATTCATAAACACATACATAAAGGGCAATGAAGATACATAGGAAAAAAGCTATACAGTTATTGAAAAGAAAAATTTTAGTGATTGCTAAATTCTTTTTCATGAAATTTGATTATTTCTATAAAACAAGTACATTTCTAAACATATTAACTATCAATACAACTGCTGTTACACACACCATTTTGTCCTTCTATGAGTCTGGAAAACATACTTTTTACACATACTCAATCCAAGCCTTCCCAAAGGGAACTATTAAGCCTACAGAAAATCATCAAATATAAAATAACAGCCATGAAGATGAAGTCGGCGTGTCAGGCTTCAGACATGACAGGTTGTCTGCTGGAACAGCACGTGGCAACCAACAGGCAAGGAGCCACACTCAGCATCCCCGGCCACAGAGGCACAGCAATTCCTGAAAGCAGACGTTCCACTTGCTCAAATGCCACTTTGCCTTCTCTCCTGCCTCATCTATTTCTATTTATGTACACACCCTGTTTGCCCTAAACTGTAAACTCTTAGAAAGCTGAAACTATGTTTTATATACCTTTTAATTAGTCACACATGGCAACACGCCATGCATATATAGTATCGAGGACTTAGTAAATACCTCTTAAATTAATACAGTCATTAGTAGTACTCAGGGATTTAACAGGCTACACACTCCTTGCCATGAGAACACTTCTTATCAGTTCTTTAAACCATTCAATCCATAAGATCCTTCCTTCTTCAACTTACCCCTTTTTCACATACTGATATGCCACGTCTCTGAGGCCTGGCCGAAATACTGATATTCTGTGCCATGTTGTCTTTTGACTGACATCACCTAAATCACAAGAATAGGAAACTGGTTACAAATGCCAACGGACAACATGCCCAGGAAAACCAACGTCACAATTGCTAAGAGAACAAACAGAAAGACAGATCTTGTTTAAAGTGGCTTATCTCTAAATTAGACAACTGGCAGTAAATAGTATCTATTTATTGCTGATAAAATTAAACCCCCATCTTTTCTACTCACCCATTTGGTAAACTTCACTGTCCCCTGATCGCCACATCTCATTAGTTGCTAGAGAAAATATTGTGACTGGATTTTTTCCTTCCACCTGTCTCAAGACAGGGTCCTGACCCACTCGCCCAAGTAACTGCACACGATTCAGGGCTGAAACACAACACCAAGACCAAATGAGACACAGAACCTGCTATAGACTGAATATTTGTGCCCCTTCCCCCAAATTTGTATGTTGAAGCTCTAACCCTCAATGTAATGGTATTTGGAGGTGAGGATCCTTAAAAGGTAATTAGGCTTAGATGACGTCATGAGGGTGAAGTGCCCCTATAGGAAGAGTTCAGAACTTTCTGTCTCCACCATGTGAAGACACGGTGAGAAGGCAACCATCTGCAAGCCAGGAAGACAGCCCTCACCAAGAGCTCAATCATACTGGCACACGAATCCTGGATTTTTAGCCTCCAGAACTGTGAGAAATAAATGTTGGTGAAACCACCCGGTCTATGGTATTTTTTTATAGCAGCCTCTAAGCTGACCACTAAAGAAATCCACACCCAAGATTGAGAGAAATGTCCAGAAGAAATGCTACAAATACCACTGCAACTTCAATCTCTGTATTAAGTAAAACCCAAGTTCTGGAAGATCAGAAAATAAGTTAAGGAATGAATAAGAAGAGGTTGCGAGAGCAAAGAGTGTTGTCAAGAAAGAAGAAAATACTCATAGAGAAAGCAGCCATACGAAACAAACTGTAAGCTCTAGATCTTAAATTCTTCTTTAAGATATCTTTTTTAACTGACTGTGGAGCTAAAAGAACAAATCTGAGATCTGAAAATCTTTATAAATACAAGGGAATATTTCTGTGAAGAAACAGTATCTTTTATAATATCAGCCTAATATAATCTGGGAAGACTCAGATAACCAAATATGACTCAAGGAAGTTCTTTTTTTTTTTTTTTTTTTTTTTTGAGACGGAGTCTCACTGTCGCCCAGGCTGGAGTGCAGTGGCGTGATTTCAGCTCACTGCAAGCTCTGCCCCCCCCGGGGTTCATGCCATTCTCCTGCCTCAGCCTCCTGAGTAGCTGGGACTACAGGTGCCCCCCACTACGCCCGGCTAATTGTTTTTTGTATTTTTAGTAGAGACGGGGTTTCACTATGTTAGTCAGGATGGTCTTGATCTCCTGACCTCGTGATCTGCCCGCCTCGGCCTCCCAAAGTGCTGGGATTACAGGCGTAAGCCGTGTGCCCGGCCAGAAATTCTGATGCAGGACAGGGTCGACGAGAATGAGTAGTAACTGGCTGATAAGGAGAATAGGGGCTCAGTTTATACTATGTCTCCACAGCCTGATGGGTCAAGGCTAAGATCTGAAGAGCAAACATAAACTAAAAGCACAATGATAACATGGTAAACCCAACCAGCATACCTCTTCTACAGCACATTTGAGATTGGCAAATTACTAAAAATAACATTTTAAACTTGGAAATTAGCTACTTACATCTTTCAAGAACCAAACTGGTACTTGTTTCGGACTCATGTCTTACAAACTGACGAAGTACCTAAAGAAGAACAAATGAGTAACATGGCTTTAATTTTTTAGGAAAGGCAAAAGCAACGGAAGAATTACTCACATTCATTCACCATGTAGTCAGTAATTCCTGTAAATTCCAGAAGAGAAGAGAAGCTCTTCTCATGTTCTCCCAAAAGAGTGTCAGAAGGACCCGGCAAACACTTCAAGTGCAGCCTACTGCAGAAGCCCAAAGGTACAGGGAAGGTACTAGAAGGCATGCTCAAGAGTTACTTTATAGTACTCCCGTTTATTTTGCCACAGTCCCCCTGATTATGGCACTTCTGTGTTTGCACACAAAAGGAAAAGTCAAAATAATATGACTTTAACATTACAGAGTATGATAATATTTGTAAATCCAACCTGTACCTAAGAGTTGCTGCCAAGTATTTTCAAAATCCAGCTTTCATTAGCTGGAGAGACAAAAAGTACTATATATATCCAATATATACATCCTCTAATTTTTTTTTTTTTAGTATAAACAACTGCTATATTATTACTATATTTTGGTTACAGTAGACTTTAGAAATTAAGAAATTTAGATCCAACATGGGTACTGATTTAATCCATCATTAGGCCAAAGGAGAGTAAAAAGAGATGTTTTATAATTAATAATTTAATAAGTAGATTCATTAATAACATACGCAATGATCAAACAAGTGTCAGGAGGTGTGGAATAAATGCAAAGCCTCACTCTCAGTCATAACAATGAGCTGGTTTAGAGGAGGATCCCCAGCCTCCCGGGTCAAGGACTAGTAGAGGTCTGTAGCCTGTTAGGAACCCGGCTGCACAGCAGGAGGTGAGCGGCAAGCAGTGAGCAAGCATTACTGAGATCCGCCTCCTGTCAGATGAGCAGGGGCGTTAGATTCTCACAGGAGTGCGAACCCCATTACAAACTGCTCATGCGAGGGATCTAGGCTGTGCACTGCTCATGAGAATCTAACTAATGCCTGATGATCTGAGGTAGAAAAGTTTCATCCTCAAACCATCCCCGCGGCACCCGCCTCCTCCAGGGAAAAATTGTCTTCCGTGAAACCAGTTACTGGTGCCAAAAAGGTTGGGGTCTGCTGGTTTAGAGAATGAGAAATAGGTTAAATCCCAATAAAACAATACATTCTTGAACTAACCACATGAGGGACTTTCTGACACAGCAACAGGAACATATTCCAAAGTCAGATTCCCTGTGTCTATGTAACTGCCTTCCCCCGGTTGCTCCTTCAGACCTTAAAAGGAATTAGGATGCCTCAAATATGATTAACCTAAAGTGTTTCATTTTAAAATCAGCAAAAATTATGATAGGTAATATCTACTTCACAAGGTTATCGCAAAAATTAAACAGCTTCAGTAGTGAGCTTAGCCTAATACAATTTCTATAAATCTTTCATGGGAAATTTCATGCTTTCAGTGCATCAGAAAAGGTCTAATAAATTTGGTTCTTTGATTAAACACAAAGATTCGACTGTCCAAGTCAAAATCACATCATTGTCAGAAAAGGTAGTCACTACCACATAATAGCAGCAATGGTTACTATCAGCTAAGAGATTTATCTATAATCAATTATAAAACTAAATCTACAAGTTATGTAAAATTATCCCCACTTAGAGCTGAGAAAACAACCTCGGAGAGACTGCATAACCTGCCCAAGATCCCGCAGGAAGTATGTGGCGAGTGATCTCAAGGCCCAGGCCCTTTGACACCAATGCTACTACTTTCCCAAAGCCCCTTGCTGCCTCCTGAATTTCAAGAGCTACTGTAAAGATGGGAGTACACATCACTGAATACAGAGTTGAGAGAGCTAGCCATTCTATCAGAGAAACATTTTCGAAGTGGCAGTACTGTTAATATAAAAAGCAGAAGCCCACCAATCAAATAAACACCAATTCCCAGGGTGCTGTTGGCTATCTAATCCTATCACTAAACTTAGGGGCACAGTGTGGGTAAGAGAATAAAGATATGAGTACAACATACTATAGAATCAAACTGCTAATGAGAACCTGTGTCATGATTCTGGAAATGTACTCATTTCAGTGCTCAGACAAGCAAGAGCTCATAAATCTTACATGATAACAATGTCTCATTTGGGGCACACAAAAATCAAAGCCTACTGGAAAAGATTAGGAAAGGATTATTTAACTTGGATACTTTTTAAAATTAAACTTTTAACTCTTATTTAAAGACATTTTAATACTGTAACATTAGTGTTAAGTAATAACTTTTTTATGTTTCACATTTCAATACAGAAAAAATAGATTAAAGATACATACAGGTTAAAGGGGGGATCCAAGAATATAGTATTAAGGTGGGAAAAATGACAGAGTCATGGAGGAACTGATTCTTCATTGATCTTCACAGGATGATGGGGAGTAGGAGAGCCAAAGAAGAATCTACAGGAGTTGGTGCCCAAATGTGGTAAGTGAGGAAAAACGGTAGTCTAAACTGGCTCAAGGTGGGCTAGAGTGACTGGAAAAGTGAGGAGCCATATTAAGTGGAATGAGAAGGCATTTTCTACATAGTGAAATCTGTGGTGACCATTCAGACTTGAGCTGCTCTCTTCAGGGTGGAAAGATGGGGGAAGAGGAACGTTTAGCAACACAGGAGGTAGACGGTCAAAAAAGCAACTACACGCCTTAAGAAAAAAGTTGGAACAATGATTCCTACAGTCTTTAGGTCACTAAAGACCTATAATGTTCTCTCACTGCTTAAATTCAAGCAACACACACACGTTTTAAAAATTAATGATTCCTATTACATATGTGAATAAACCTGAACTTTTTTTTTGTTTTAGTGAACATAATTTACACTGGCAAAATTTACACTACCAATCCTCCGTATCAGTTGAGTACAGAGGTGGGTGGGTGAGCTCAAAGGTCTTTAGCCCTGTAGTTAAAAGCCTGAAGAAGTCTTCTGATCACCGCTGATAGTAATACATCTCAATATTAATACAGACAAGTGACTACCTGTAACACAGGTCTTCGAAACATGGCTTCTATTTTCTTTCCTTACAGTCTAATCTTTAGGCTCTTCCTAAAGGAAAAAAACAAAATGAGAAACATTACTTCTTATGGCAAAAGCACAACTCACCAGTCCTAAATTCCTAACTGCATTCATAATTCTTATGCACTCCAATTTTGTGACCACAACGTACCAACATTCCTGCACACCTGATGAGGATTCCTTCCTCCCTCCCAAATAAACTCACACCTGTGTCATTTTGGTCCCAAACAACTTCCTCTTCCTCCAACCCAGACAAAATTTTGATTGTGAGTTAATCCCACTTCCAATCCACTTCTTCTCAAATCTGATTACAATGCAAGCTCCCCTAGGGCACAGATTTTTATCTGCTTTATTCACTGCCATTTTCTAAACTTCTAAAAAAGTTTAGGCATAGTAAAGGCTCAAAAACTATTAGCGTCACCAAGGGACTTATATCTGAAACCTGTTGCTGAAAAATTACTGCCTTCATCTCCGTTAGCAAAGACCAAGCAGCGTAGAGATCCCCGGGCTAGCCAGCCACACCGTGGGGAGAGGTGGGCACCCTTTACCGGAGGTGGCGCCACCACCTGAAAACCGAGGAGAACTGGGAAGAAATCACGCAGTCCTCGGCACGACTGAGGAAAGGGCCAGACACCTACAGAAACACCTTCCGACCCACGCAGGATCACGCGCAGCCAAAACACAGGACTCCACCACTTGCTTAGCGCTTGCTATCCCTCCCTCACCCGACGCTCTAACCCGAGCAGCCGAGCCAACCAGGGGATCACTTCCGGGGCACAGGGAACGCAAAGCTCGCGAGAGGAAAAAGGAAGCAGAAACTCCACAACGTGCGCCTTGGAAATACTGCCGGCGAGCGCCGTGGGAAACGCCGCCCCTTAACTCTGAAGTTCCGCGAGTTTCTCTTTGGTCGCGGGAGGATGATCAACGCCGCCAAGTGGTGAGTTTGGAAGGTTTCAAGGTTCAAATTAAATGAAATTCTGTGATGAGGTTTCTAACTGTGCCCGGGAGGGGGCGAGGTAGGCAAAACAGAGACTAGCTCTGCCTGTGGGGGGAGAAAGGAAAACGATTTGTGACCAGCCTAGGCGACATAGTGAGACCCTGTCTCTACAAAAAGTATAAAATTAGCTGGGCGTGGTGGCGCGCGCCTGGGGTCCAAGCTACTCGGGAGGCTGGGGTCGGGGGATCACCAGAGCCCTGGAGGTCGTGGCTGCATTGAGCGGTGAACGCACCGCCGCACTGCAGCCTGGGCAACAGAGCGAGACTTTGTCTCAAAAAAAAAAAAAAAAGAAGAAGAAGAAAATTAAAGAAAAAAAAGAAAAAGAAAACGTTCCAGGCCTGTTAAAGCACTAAGAAAAGCAGAAAAAGAAAGGGGAGCCGGGGAAGGGCTGACAGGCCGTCAAATTTAAGGGAGCACCAGAAAAACTGGCAATCAAATAATATCTTAATGTAATATTTTAAAAGGTAAAAATTAATGCAAGAAATCCGGGAGGAACAAAATAAGAGTCGTGTGTAGCTTAACAACAGGGAATGTTCTGAGGAATGCGTCATTAGGCGATTTCGTTGCTGTGCGGACACCATAGAATGTACTTTCACGACCTAAATGGTAGAGCCTGCGACACACCTCAGCTGTGTCACTGGTGTGCCCTGTTGCTTCCAGGCTGCAAACCTGACAGCATGGGACTGTGCTGAATACCGCAGACCATTGTAATTCATGGTAAGTGTGTGTCTAAACATATGTAAACATGGAAAAGGTACAGTACAAATACAGTATAAAAGATAAAAATTGTATGGGGCGCTTACCATGAATGGAGCTTGGAGAATTAGAAGTTGCTGTGGGTGAGTGGGTGAGTGAGTGGTAACCCAACGCGAAGGTCTAGGACATTATTGTACCCCACTAAACACTTCATAAACACTATACACTTAGGCTACACTCTGTTTATAAAAAATATTTTTCTTCCTTCAATAAACTTTCACTTACTATAACTTTATAAATCTTTCAATATTTTTTACGTTTTAACTCTTTTGTAATAACAATTAGCTTACAACACACACTGTACCACTATACAAAAATATTTTTCTTATATCCTTATTCTGTAAGCTTTTTTCTACCTTTGGTTTTTTTAAAAAAAAAAAAACTTTTTTGCCTTTTTTAAAAAAAACGAAGACATAAACACACACATTAGCCTAGGCCTACACAGGGTCATTATGATCAGTCTCAGCCTTCCACCTCCACCTCTTGTCCCACTGGAAGGTCTTCAGAAGCAGTGACACACAGTCATCTCCTATAACAATGCCTTCTTCTGGAATCCCTCCTGAAGGACCTGCTTGAGGCTGTTTTACAGTTAACTTTTTAAAAATAAGTTAATAATATAATAAAAAGTATAGTAAACACATAAACCAGCGACATAGTCATTATTAATATGAAGTAACACATGAGTAATACATTGCATTCTGATGTTTTATTTAGGTACGATGTCACTAGACAATAGAAATTTTTCAACTCCATTGTAATGTTATGGGACCACCTTTGTAGATGCACTGTTGTATATGCAGTCTGTCTTTTTCCCAAACATCATTATGAAGTGCATGACTGTATTAAAATTTTAACTGAATACAGGATCTAAGCCAGATTGGAGCCTGAAGCACAAGGAAGAATGTGTGCCCCATATATATGTGTGTTTATGTATTTTTAAAAACTGGGGCTAGGAAGGTTAGTGGGGGGCTGGAGGGAAGGTGGGGATTGTTAATGGATACAAAAAAATAGAATAAGACCTGCTATTTTCGATGACACAATAGGTTGACTATAGTCAGTAATTACTTAATTGTACATTTTAAAATAAGAGTGTTACTGGATTGTGTGTAACTCAAAGGATAAATGATTAAGAGGATACCCCATCCCCATGATGTGCTTATTTCACGTTGCATGCCTGTATCAAAATATCTCATGTACCCCTAAATATATACACTTCCTTTGAACCCACAAAAATTAAAAATAAAAAAGACAAAAACAAAAAAATTTTTAATTAAAAAAATTTTGGCCAGGTCCAGCAGCTCATGTTTGTAATCCCAGCACTTTGGAAGGTTGAGGCAGGTGGATCACTTGAGCCCAGGAGTTCAAGACCAGCTTGGGCAACATGGCAAAACCCTGTCTCTACAAAAAATACAAAAATTTGCCAGGCAGCCAGGCGCAGTGGCTCACGCCTGTAATCCCAGAACTTTGGGAGGCCGAGGCGGGCAGATCACGAGGTCAGGAGATCGAGACCATCCTGGCTAACACAGTGAAACCCCGTCTCTACTAAAGATACAAAAAATTAGCCAGGCGTGGTGGCGGGTGCCTGTAGTCCCAGCTACTCGGGAGGCTTAGGCAGGAGAATGGCGAGAACCCGTGTGGTGGAGCTTGCAGTGAGCTGAGATCGCGCCCCTCTCTCCAGCCTGGGCAATGGTGTGAGACTCCATCTCCAAAAAAAAAAAAAATTAACCAGGCATAGTGGTATGTGCTTATAGCCCCAGCTACTGTGGAGGCTGAAGTGGGAGGATCACTTGAGCCTGGGAAGGTGAGGTTTCAGTGAGCCATGATCACACCACTACACTCCAGCCTGTGCAACTGAGTGAGACCCTGTCTCAAAAAATATATATATATGTGTATATATATCTATATATATATATAAATGAAATATGTGCATGTTTATATATATATCTATATATACACACATTTTTTGAGACAGGGTGTATATATCACACAAAATATATATGTGTGTATATGTGGATATATATATCAATATAAATTTTTTAATTAATTTTTATTTAAAAAAATTTTTGATAGTCCAGTAGCTCATGTTTGTAGTCCCAGCACTTCAGAAGGTTGAGGCGGGAGGATCACTTGAGCCCAGGAGTTCAAGACCAGTTTGGGTGACATGGCAAAACCCTGTCTCTACAAAAAATGCAAAAATTAGCCAGGCGGCTAATTTATGTGTGTATATCAATATATACACACATATATTTCCAGAACATTAAAGTAGTTGAAGCAGTATTGAAAATTTTTAAAGTAGGTATTATAACAAGAAAAACCCAAAATTGCATTAATAAAAACCTTCCCCCAAACTGAGAGGAAGCCGAGAAACCAAAGATTGACCTGCACGAGTACAGCTTGGCGAGTGGAGGAGTTTATGAGAACTTACATACAAGGCACTCCTGGATGGCAGCAGGACAGCTGTGGAGATCCGCCTGGCCTCCCATCCCTAAGCTACTTGTAAGCTAATTTTCTGGCTTTTAGCCTATTGTGTGTGATGGAACTGTTTTCTTTGGTAGGTTCTCAGATATTCTCTGAGATCTTTAGCTTCTCAGAAACACCTGCTCTCTGGCTGGTCACCGTGGCCTTGGCACATGGCCTGGCCTTCAGGATTCAGGCAGTGGACATACACTCTTTAGTAACCCAGGGTCGGGGGGAACCCATTACATTACAGGTGTATTAAAATTCACAACACTGTTTTAACTTTAAATATTTTATTTATGCCAAGATGGAGTGTAATATAACTTTACTTTTAATGGAAGTAAACTGATCAGTAATGTTTTCAAATCTACTTCTTTGCTTATCTTGTTTTGAGAGAATTTCCATACCTTCACAATTTTTCTTGACCAAGTAACAATCTTAAATAATTTTAATTCAGCTTACTGATCTTGTCTTTATTTAAAATTTTGGTGTTTTATTCATCATGAATTTTTTTTCATTAGTTTTAACATTTTAAGAATATTTCATTCAAGTGTTACAAATCTTGATTGCTGAGTTTCTTGGTGCCCCTTAAATTCTGTCTCATTCATGCTAATCCTGGGCCTAGCGGGAAAAAGAATGTATGGAGCCCCATAAATTACAGAACCCACACCAGTGGGGGCCACCCCTTCCACTCTTTCTCCTGGTCCTGGCACTGTCCAGGTTGTGGAGAAAGAAGGTACCCACCGTATTGTTCTAACAGGCAAATCACCTCCTCAGGCCTCTACCTAAAACCTTTCATCTTCCCATTTTTTGCCATTTAGGGATAAAATCTTAACATAGCTTCCAACACACACCTTAACTCACTCCTGAAGGTCTTGCTTACCAGTTGGTATATCGTATTTCCAGATGCTTACCTCTATTTTACTAGCACCCTCACAATGTTGAGCTCCTAAAACATACCACGCTATACTGCCTTCAAGCCTTGCACAGGAATCAGTAATCCCATACTCCACCCACTATGTTACTACTGTCAATGACTTCCAGTGATTTTTCTCTTTAAAAATCCTGTTTCCACTTGAGTCAAATGAAAAACTAAATTCACTCTTTTGCCCAATGTCAGTTTCTCCCTTGTTTGTTTTAATGGTACCAAGATTCTCCCAGACTTGAACTTTATAATCATCTTCATCTCTCTCTGACCACCCACATCCATTCACCCATATCCAATCACTTGGCCCTAAAACTTCTTTCTTCATGATGCCACTAATATCTCCCTTTCAATTTGCATACTTTGGAGTAAGGAGTGTGGGAGAAGTTATATAAAGAAAAATGCAGAAAGCACCATGCAAATTGAAAAGAGAGAACCTTAAGCAGACTCTTACAACTTTCTAAATATCTTAGTGGAGAGTCTGGAGTACTCTGAATTCTCAGACAGGAATTGCCAATACACATTCTCCTGAGATTGCTGGCTGGAGAGAGTCACAGTGCTGCTTTGTTTTTTCTGTGACAAAGAAAAGTGTGATAAAATGTACAGTTTTTTAGATGTAAAATGTCATGGAGAAATTAAAGCATTTTCTTCTATTATCAAATGGATCCCTCCTAACACAAATGCTTCTGTGCTGCATTGCTCCATCCTCAGGATCTGAAATGCACTCCCCTCACACACTTTCAGAATTCTCTACTGAAACATTCCTTCCTTTCTGTTCTCCCATTTCATTTTCTTTGCACACTCTGTCCATCTTATAACAAATGATCACGAAGATACCTCATCCCTCCTGTTAACTGTGAGCTCTTAGAGTTCAGGGAACTTGTGAATATCCAGTTCACAGTATACTTTAAAATAAGGACAGGCTAGTAGGGCCCAGGTCATGGAAATAAGAATCCAGAAGGGATGCTCAAATAAGCATTCTTATTTCTGGGAAGAGTCCAGAAGGATGCTCACAGAGCCATAAAATTTCTTTTTAATCGAGGACTTAGAACAGTGATTCCAATATATTTTTGTATCAGAGATACCCCTTCAGAAACCTAAATTTCACATTTTGATGAGGAAGCCCTGAAACCTCGCCATAGGATACACATACACATACTTTCTGTAGTTCATCCATGGGCCCAGAGACGGCCTTCCCAATGCTGTGAAGAGGTGACAGGTAGCATTATGGCTTTAATCAGTTTTAATGCCTGGCAGTAGTAGACTGACACAGGGCTTTTATCACTTGCAAAGATGAATGAGAAAGAAGTGTGTTATCATAAATGCCCAGGGGTGCAAAATCACCTTTGGCCTGACTTATTTCTCCCTGAATTAAAAAGGTTCCAGCTATAGGCATCCATTGGTAGAGATGAAGACTGGCAATGCTTTATCATAAATAGGAAGCCTTGGACAGTTTTGCTGTAAATTATCCACTTTTAAATAAATTTTAATCAGGTTTTTACTTTGATTTTAAATCAGCTTCTCTAAAGCCTCATAATAACTGTTGAAAAATTGCAGCACTTATTACCTACACTGATTACTTGCATATATTTTAGAATGGTTTGAAAGCAATTTTAGCAATACTTAGTAGTTATTATGGCTTAATTTAAAAACAACCTGACAATTTTTCTGCAATTCAAGATTGAAAATATGGTTCATTTAGAGATAAAAAGCCTTAGTTGTTCAGGCTGAAAGGTTCATGTCTTTCAATATTCATCTTTCTACAACTTTCAGTAAATGGCCTCTCTAAAGTGGTATGTGTGTCAGAGCTTAGACCAGTGGAGCACAATAGTATTCCTCTAGATCTCAAGATTATCTGTTGGTACCTTAATGTCAGTGTTGACATTTAGAATACATCCTTAGAGAAGTAACATATTTTCTAAAGTATTTTAATTTAACTTCTTTAATGTTACCAGCCCAATGATGTTAATGAAATAATTGTGATAATTAGTTTCCAAGTTACATAATGATCTCTGTGCAAAAACAAAACTTACTGAGGTAAGGAATAAGCATCTAACTGAAATGGAAGGGATGAAACGCCAAAGCCAGTGAAGACCCAGTCCCTCACACTCAGTAGTATCTATGCAGATAGATACATACTATTTTGGTGACATCCTGCTACTGTAGAGAGAGAGAGAGAGAGCGAGAGAGCAAGCCAGAGAGCCAGAGAGCCAGAGAGCGGGCGAGCGAGAAAGTGAGAGAGAGAGCGAGCGGGCAAGCCAGAGAGTGAGAGCGCGTGCGAGCGGGCGAGCCAGAAAGAACGAGAGCGGGCAAGCCAGAGCCAGAGCCAGAGCAAGAGAGCCAGAGAGCCAGAGCGGCCAATAATCTGGCACCAGGTCCATTCAGTTGTGAAGCTAGGCTGAGGAACACAGTAGAGAAGAGGCTGTAGACCCAAATAGTCAGTTATTAATGCCTGAGAAGACTAGTATAACCAAACAATTCTCATCTGTACATTGGATGTACTTAATAATTTACCTGTTTCTAAATCACAAATTGTGGTTGACCTTGTACTATACTACAAGGGACATGGCCTGGTGTGTGTGTGTTGTTCAGCGGGAGGTGGCAAGAGATAAACTAACCCCATTTTATAATTTTGAATAGAGCCTAGTAAAGAAAAATGGCAATGGGCTATAGGAAGACCACCACCACACTTAATTGCATGGAAAGAATTGCTACTCCAAAGCAGAACAAAGAATAGTATTAGGGTTTATTCAATTAAAAAAACTTAATTAGCTTTTAAAAATGAGGGGGAAAGAAGAAAATCAAGCAGCAAAAAAGCCATTATCATCAACAGGTTGCATTCACTAAGATGACACAAACAGAGCTTATCAAATACCTTTATGACCAACATAATTTTCTAGCAAAGCCTGACCATTATTAACTGTTGGATCTGTGAAGCTAACACTTGCCACCAAGACCTGTTACTACTGACCCACTGAATTCTCTTACCCTTTTATTCATAAAATGTTCTCCAACATAAATTTCTTGTTCTTTGTTAGTTACATTTTACAAAGGATATTTTACCTGTAATTAGGCTTTGGACAAGATAAAACCCTTTATTTAAAATACAGTATTCTATTCCTTTTAAAATGTGTATAGAAAAAGGATTTAGATAAAATATGATCTTAAAAAACAGGAAACAAAGCCAAATTCTCATAAAAATCATGAGAAATTGGTGAGACCCGGAATATCAAACCAACCAGAACAGCCAGAAGAGAGGCAGGGCAAATAGATGGAGAACAACCACAGGCACATCAAGTTTTCCCTGAAGCCCCTCCCCACAGCATTTTTGTCCTGCAAGTTAACAGCCAGCTCAGAGATGTCCAAGTTGCATACAGTCTAACTTTTACCCACCTCACATAATGGTGAAGCCATTTATTTAATAAATACAATATCAGAAAGGGTATACATTAGGAGACCCACTTCCTCAAGAAGCTGGGAATTTTCTCTTAGGAACAGCATCATATAACCTGGGAAGCACTGTGGAAAATCCAGGCACATTTCCTGTAAGCTGTGACTTCAACTCTAAACTAAATTCTATTCCTTTCTATGTACAATGAGTCCCTGGGATCCTTCGTGAGGAATCAGCAACAGCAACCTCTTAATCCATAGGCCAAACCAAGGGCTGTTTCCTTTTCTTCCTTCAGTGCAGAGGCTCACGCTCTCCTGCTGTTCATCAAAAGTGTGAGAAGTAAATAAGTTATTGATCAGTGGCATTAGGAATATAACAATAGAGGAGAAATGGCTTCCAATTACTGTATCTGGGACCATTGCTAATACAAAGCCTTACTAGCTTTAGGATCTTGGCTATAAAATGGTAAATTAGTAGTGGCTTTTGAAATCCTTGGGCGTTCAAGTTGGCTAATTTTTTCATTTTATAAGAGGAAGGTTGGGACAGCTGGTATCTATTTCCAGAGGTTCTACAGTAAAAGGTTGGCTGGTGCAAAATGAGTTCTTAAGGGGAAGATTACTCACAGGTAAAGCTTGAAGACCTTGCACTCTTTCCTCCCACCAGGCGTTTTGTGCTTCTTGGTCCTGTGTGGGTCCCAGAGACCCCAGTGTCGTCATGATGGATATCTCCCTGGGGTGAGTGGGCCTGCTGGGCTTCTCTCAGTTCCCTGAAGTGCAAGGGGGAAAAAGCAAAGACTACTTGATCTCCAATCAGAGATATATATGATCAAAACTAATATATAAATGTTTTTCTTTTTCAGTATTTACAGAAAAAAAGCCTGAGCTATGTACAGAATAGGAAATTCAGTTACTATGGTTGTCATAAAAAATGGTTGACATATGCATGTCATACAACATGGTAGGTTTAGCTCCCCAGACTCTGCTGATTGGAGTATAAATGATCTTTAAAATGTTTTAAATTAAGTGAACAGCTCTTCAGGCTACATATGACAGGTACCAGGGTCAACAAAACACAACTTCTGAGTCAAATCTGGCCTATAACCTGTACTTATAAAGTCTTATTGGAACATAGCCACTCATTTATATGTTGTCAATGGCTGTTTTTCCACTGTAACAGCAGAGTTGAAATCATCACAGCAAAAAGCATATGGCCCACAAAGCATAAAATATTTACTGTCTAGCCCTTCACGGAACAAGTTTTCCAACACTTGGTGTAGACCAGCAGTCCCCAACCTTTTTGGAATCAGGGACTGATTTCAAGGAAGACAGTTTTTCCATGGATGGGGCATCAGGGGAGGAGACGGTTTCAGGATGAAACAGTTCACCTCAGATCATCAGGTATTAGATTCTTGGAAGGAGTGCACAACCTAGATCCCTCACATGCACAGTTCACAATTGGGTTTGTGCTATAAGAATTTAATGCTGCCACTGATCTGGTGGGAGGCAGAGCTCAGGCGGTAGTGCTCACTCACCCACTGCTCACCTCCTGCTGTGCGGCCCGGTTCCTAACAGGCCCGACTGGTACTGGTTCATGGCGCAGGGCTTGGGGACCCCTGGTCTAGAGAATTTCAAGATGCTGTCTGCCCCGTCTCTATGATGGGTGCCCATCACTTGTACTGGCTGATGATAGTCACCTGTGTCTCCATAGCTGACTTTCTAGAATGTATACACCACACCTTAAGTGGTACTTATATTCTTGTGAATAACATATGTAAGTATAGTACTTTATACTTTCTTTATTAGCTGGGACAATGGAATTCAAAACGAGAACAGAAACATATTAAGTGGCTTATTAGGAAGATTTACCTGACTAAAGGCCAAGAGTCTCTACAAGTTGTTATTAATACTAAGAAATCAGGTTAGGGATGCTTCAAAGCTAATCTTTCCAAGATGGATGATTGTATATCCAAGAGAAGTTAGACTTCTAAGCTTATTTTAGGGACAATTTTTCATTTTCTTTTGTATTTTCAGCAGTGTACAGAACATGTAATAATTACTCAAAAATGCCTTCAGAACACTGCTCATCTCCAACCCCACCCCATTGAATTCCTTTTTTTTTTTTTTTTTCATTTTTCAGGGGAAAGCATGAACACAGTCCCCCACTACCACCACTTATGCAGTCAAGTTTTCCACCTTTGGGGACATCGCAGGGGTCAGCACATCCGGAGTCAGTCGATGAGTCTCACCCTGGGAAAACCACCTTCGTGATCATGGTATCCTCCCTACCAGGTAAGTATTCGCATTCCCATTTATTGAAGGAATGGATTAACAAGTAAATATATGCATGAATACAAGCCTACATGAGCAGGAGAACAGATTGTTTTCTTTGCCTAGAAAAATAATCCTTCCTCTAAATGTGTACCAGGACAGTATGTCTACCTGCCTGCCCCTGAAATTTAAGGGGTTTCTAAAATAGGTCTTACCCATCTTACCTGCGGTTATCTTATATTAGGCGATCACCAACCAGTTACTAAGATACCCACTGTCACTTAGAATCCTGTTTTCTTTACTGGTATTTCCTTATATTCTTCCCTCTTGCTTCCCTTGTTTTCATTAACTGGAAATTTCTCTCTCAAGCAACCTAATCACAGAGCCTCCCAGCCCGATGCTACAAAGAGCCGCATGCTGCCAGTGTCCTTATGGGCAGGGACCTATGTATTATAATGGTGAATATATTTATACTTGAATCCACAGAGAAGACACAGTAGACTAGTCATACCATTGTGAGTAGTGCTCAGATTCTTTTTTGACCCCCATCATCCAATAATATACCTTTCCAGTGTGGCAGTTTTGAACTTTTCTAAATTCAGCTGCTGTTGGAGCTCCTCTGTTTTTCCCAGGCAAGGCCGGAGAACTCTATTTCTGGCCAGAGCTGCTGCAGAAGGTCTCTGTTCAGCATCAGGGTGGATCATGTTCTGATGATATAGGACCAAGAGGAAATAGAAGCTTCACTATTGGGAAAAATCTTCTCGCTGAAGCCACCCCCAACCCAGCGTCTCCTGGTGGATTTTGTAAGACCTTGCTTCTGGCTTTGTGCAGAGGGAAGAAATGAAAACTGAGCTCCACCTTGGGCAGGAGGATCGTCCATGTCTGGTAGCACCAGTTGTCCGCATCTTTGTCTTTTCTTTTTTTCTTTTTTTTTGAGACGGAGTCTTGCTCTGTCACCCAGGCTGGAGTGCAGCGGCCGGATCTCAGCTCACTGCAAGCTCCACCTCCTGGGTTTATGCCATTCTCCTGCCTCAGCCTCCCGAGTAGCTGGGACTACAGGCGCCCGCCACCTCGCCTGGCTAGTTTTTTGTATTTTTTAGTAGAGACGGGGTTTCACTGTGTTAGCCAGGATGGTCTCGATCTCCTGACCTCGTGATCCGCCCACCTCGGCCTCCCAAAGTGCTGGGATTACAGGCGTGAGCCACCGCGCCCAGCCTGATTTGTCTTTAATCATATTTTGGAACTGGCTGGCTAACTAGTCTATTGCCTTAGTTTTAAAGCAGAAAAAACTAAGACCCTTGATAAAAATTATCCAAATTATGGAATAGCCAAGACCAAAACCCAGTGTGCCCAACTCTTACTCCAGTTTACTTTCTACCACATCATGTTGCTTTTTCACTTAATATTAATAACCCAACATGACAGTATTCCTAAAGCATTTATTTTAAGGTAGAAGATGTCTAACCTATCATGATTTGAATATAGTAGAAAATACATAATTATATACAGCAACTGACACTGTCATATAATGAAGAAAACACTGAACAAAATTCTGAGCCAACTCCACCATTTGTTTTATAAATTTTGCTGAAGCTCCATTTCCCTTACCTGAAATTTGGGATAATTATATTTACCTTCTTGGACTATTTTTAGAATTTAACAAATTAATATATGTATTGTCCACTACAGGGCCAGCATTTACGTACTGAAATATCAACTAAATGCAAAAGTGGTTTACACATGGAATTAGGTGATTAGACTGAACAAAAGGAAGGAGGAAGAGTTTGTCTCCTTTCAGGAAAGCAAAAGAAGTCAGGAAGAAGGACAGATTTGTAAATACATTTGAAGTTTGCAGGTAAACTGTGAATCTTCCACACCTGTAGTCTGGCTACTCAGGAAGCTGAGGCAGGAGGATTGCTCGAGCCCAGGAGTTCAAGGCTGCAGTAAGCTATGATTGTGCCACTGCACTCCAGTCTCGGTAACAGAGTGAGACCCTGTCCTCTCCCACCCAAAAAAATCTAATCTCCAAGGAAATAGATTTTGGGAATCCTAACCAATCCTGTTCCTTAAGACATGATTTAAAGTCATATATACATTTTTCTTGACATGATTAAGCTTGATAATATAAGCTTTTTGTGTCTATTTCAACATAGTATCTTCCTTTTCTTGTCCCCACACTACTCAGATGTCATTAAGTACAAGTAAAACAGATTTTTGAATTGACATCATGCCTTTTTTCTAATAGCTCAAATAATTGGTATTATCAATTAGCAATAAAGAAGTCTTATACCTTCTTACATATAATAGAAATTCATTCTTTTAGTACTATCACTGTTATCACTAACAAAAGTTAAAACCCTGAAGTAGGAGCTAAAGGACCAGATTTGATTGTGGAGTTAGCCCGTAATTCATTGTCACTACAGGTGTCAAGGAGCTGCTCTGAGCCATGGTTTCCTCAACTGCAGGATAACATGCCACCTGCCTACCTTACAGCATTGTTAGAAAGGGCAAATGAAAAAAATGTTTGTAACAGGACTTTTAAACTAAGCATGAAAGATTTTACAATATCCTCTCAGTTTCCTTAAGAAATTCTCCATCCGTCTCACCACCCCCCATTTTTTTTTTTTTTTTTTTTTTCTGAGATAGTCTCGCTCTGTCGCCCAGGCTGGAATGCAGTGGCACGATCTTGTCTCACTGCAAGCTCCAGGTTCAAGTCATGCTCCTGCCTCAGCCACCCAAGTAGCTGGGACTACAGGCACCTGCCACTACGCCCAGCTAATTTTTTATATTTTTAGTAGAGATGGGGTTTCACCATGTTAGCCAGGATGGTCTCACTTTCTGACCTCGTGATCCACCTGCCTCAGCCTCCCAAAGTGCTGAGATTACAGGCATGAGCCACTGTGCCTGGCCCCGCCCCTTATTTTTTCTGGACTTCTAGTCAGATTCCTTTTTCTGTTAGTGACACTACCAGCATCTCCATTTTTCTTTGCCCAACTACTTGCCATTGCATTAAAAAAAAAAAAATAGATATTGCATCTTCTGTCCATCTCGTAAGAGAGATCACCTTGAGCAGACTGGAAAAGCTTTCTGAGAGCTCCTGAGGAACATCTGGAAAGTTACCCTTGCGGATATGGTGCCATGCAGTACCATTGGTGGGTAATGACTCTGCTCCTGCAGCCACTGCGATTGTTAATCCCAAGGCAAATATGTCTGCTTTGGGAAGGTGCCGGTAATCCTTCAAAACAGAAAACAGTAAGGCCAGTTATTATGCCAAGCACAGTGAGTCTAGATTAAAATACAACTGGTAGGAAAGGTTCATTCGAGTGCATATAAGGTCTAAACAGATATGATGGTCAAAGGTACATTCACTGTAGTCAGTGAGTTCTAGAGAAGAGAGAACATAAATCTACCTGATTATCACTGCTGTGCCCTGCGGAGTCCAAGGCAGAAACTTACTGCCATTTTGCTGTCAGGCTCAGAAAGGCTTGCTACATAACTTGGCTGATCACAGGAAGGAAATACTCATTTTCACCTGATTATCACCCAGGAAGAAGTTATATCCTCCCTAGGCCTGACTCAACAGACATTGGAGAAGATGGGCAATGACTAAACGTCATTTCAATAACCAAAACTGGTGGTGCTATCAGAACGATAATGGCATGATAAAGATGGACTGGACCAATATGGGCTTGAGGAAAAGGCTTCCTTCTTAGCAGGCAATCCATGAGGTTAGGAAGTCTAAGAAATATCTGGAAACAGTAAAGGGCATTTAGAAAGAAAAGTCTGAATATTGATTCATCCTTAATTGAGCCAGCTTTCCTCACTTTTTTGGAAGAGTTTCTCTCCTATCTTTGGTCTCCATTCTGAATGGGAAGAGAGGTACTATAATGATAAATATACAGTTTTAATTTTTTGCACTGAGATCCTCCATTTGAGAGTCAAAGGTTCAACGGATTATAAAATACCCTCTATTTTCCTAATCTATACCTCTTGTAAAATCTCATTAGCCAGGAAGCGACTATCTCCTTCTTCCACTTTGGGTTCATTTATTGATGTTGCATGGCCCAGGTCACCTAAAAAAAGATAGGAAAAAGGAAATAATAAAATAGAAAAAAAGAGCTTTAAAAGCATGTCTTAAAACTGGAATAAATTGAGTCATCAGTATAAATTTTATAGGATAATAGTAATTGCTAAGGGTCTAAGGCAGACTAACCGATTTTATATATCACATCAGCAGAGAGAAACCAATCAGCTTCATTTTCAACTTCTTCTATGACTCCAGGGGAGTCACTTTGCATCTTGTGACAAATGAAGATATTACCTGAAAAAAAAAAAATCACAGGATAGATGTAAGCAATGATTTCTAAGCTTTTTCATCTCAAAGATTCTTTTCTGTATTTGACAATTCAGCTTCTCTCCTTTCTTCTTTTGTGTGGACATAGCAAGACTACTAAGGTTTCTTTTTTTCTATGAAATCTCACATCACTTCTGAAGAGCTAGTGATTGATCATACCTATTTAAGTTGAACTGACCTCATATATTCTCCATTCTCTGAAGGGGCTGGCATCAAAGTACTATTGTCCCCAAAATAAAAAAATAGTAAGAACTTGTCCTTGGGTTTCACATTAATGAGCGATACTCATTTCTCCTTAATCAGTGCAGAGTTAGAATGAGTATGGCCCTAGTCATAAACACAATCAGAATGTAGCTGATATGCTGTCACTTGCCTTTGTAGTAAATTAAATACCTAATTTTACCTTTTTGGCCTTACTATATATGGGTAAGAGTCTTTTTTTTTCTCTATGTCCGTTGGGCCTAGGAGAGAATGGTTAAAGCTATTTAACTGATTTTTTAAAGGGACACAAATGGAAGAAAGGGGTTCTTGCCAGCAAACACTGTCTTTGACACTTGGTAGACATACAGACCTAGATTTTGATGATAGCATAGAAAGAACAAAATATGGTAGAAGTGGCAGAAGGGAATCACACTGACTAGGTTTGATGTCCAGGTGTACCATGCCAGAGTTGTGGATGTACTTAAGTCCAAGGGAAATCTGTAGAAGGATGTCCTTGAGTTTTGGCTCTTCAAAATGATTGCCAGATTTAGTGTTTTCAGATATAGCAGCTTGCAAACTCCCACCTGGGAAAGAACAACGGAGAATAGCCCCACAGTACGAGTTTTACAGATGAAAGCACAGTAAATACAATTGGCCTCCCATATCCTCAGGGGATTAGTTCCAGGACCTCCTGCAGATACCAAAGCCCCAAATGCCCAAGTGCCTTGTATAAAATGGCATAGTACTATAATGAATACATTCCTCATGAATGGCTTCAGTTCAACAAATAGATTAATTCTGTGTCAGTGCAAAGCATAATATCTGCCCCATCTATACCACAGATATGTTGGAAAGGAGAATTACCGGGCTTTCAAAGAGGAAAAGAAAATGCTAGTATCTCAGGTATCCAGTATATGGCCCCATTGATTCAAGCATGTACCAGCTAACATTTTAAAAGTTTTACCTAATTATTAACTAGAAGATCAATCAGGCATAGTCATATAGCTACTATTGGTGTCAATGATTAGCTCCATGTCAGTGTCGGGCTAGTTGTTATAGGCCATCAGTTATTTTATAATTTAATTGAGTCTAAGTCTAATTTCATTAGAAATAGATCATAAAATAAGAATATTTAATGACTGCCAACCCAAGGAAAATATAAAAGCTGCATATACACCTAAATCTTATTTGAGCCACAGTATTGGTACATCAACTGTACTCGATTTATTGTTATCAATTAAATAAAAGGTCTGGATTCATATAACTATCTGATCTTGATTCTAAGGTATTAGAATGCTTCTGAACACCTTTTTTTTTTTTTTTTTTTTTTTTTTTTTTTTTTTTTTTGAGACAGAGTTTCACTCTGTCACCCAGGCTGGAGTGCAATGGCATGGTCTTGGGTCACTGCAACCTCCACCTCCCAGGTGCGAGCAATTCTCCTGCCTCAGCCTCCCCAGTAGCTGGGACTAAAGGTGCATGCCACCACACCCGGCTAATTTTTGTATTTTTAGTAGAGACGGGGTTTCACTATATTTGGCCAGGCTGGTCTCTAACTCCTGACCTCATGATCTGCCCACCTCAGCCTCCAAAACTGCTGGGATTACAGGCGTGAGCCATTGTGCCCCGCTTCTGAACACTATTAATTAGTGTTCATTGGCAGGTTCTTCAAATTATAGAGACCTAGCTCTAACTGGCAGTTACAAAGACCATAGCTCCACTCATTGAGCTCTGGATAGTCATGGAATTTGAGGGAATTCATATTTAAATGCATTCTGTGTAAAATTGAATTTAAAGAATTATTTTAGCATGACATGTAAGTTCAGAAGGGAGAAAAATTCAACTCCTTTCAGAAACACAAGGAGGGCTACAATAAAGTTTTTTATTTTTTTAAGTCTTCTTAGAATTTATATGCTATATGTGACTTATTAATTAGAAAGAATAAGTAAGGAAAGAGAGTGTTTGGGAGCTTGTCAAAAATGAAGTCACTCGGCTAGGTGCGGTGGCTCACACCTGTAATCCCAGCACTTTGGGAGGCTGAGGCAGGTGGATCACCTGAGGTTGGGAGTTCAAGACCAGCCTGACCAACATGGAGAAACCCCATCTCTACTAAAAAAAAAATACAAAAAATTAGCCAGGCGTGGTGGCAGGTGTCTGTAATCCTAGCTACTTGGGAGACTGAGGCAGGAGAATTGCTTGAACTCAGGAAGTGGAGGTTGCGGTGAGCCGAGATCGTACCATTGCACTCCAGCCTAGGCAACAAGAGCAAAACTCCATCTCAAAAAAAAAAAAAAAAAAAAAGAAGTCCCTCCAAGACAAAGTTTGTAGGTGAGGTCATGAGGTACTGCCAACAAGGAGGAAGGCTGCAGCCACCAAAGCTCTGGTTTCTCTACCAGCCTGAATGTTGCTTAAGGGGAGGGAGCACATCTAACTCATCTTCACTTGCCCAAGGTCTAACATGGGATAAATATTTTCTGAAATGAATGATTATCCTGACAACAGAAGGGAAAGAAAGAATAAGTCGAGGACCCCTTTAAGAGGTATAGAAGCTCTGTGCTTCCAAGCAAGACTATAATATATAGTACAGACTTTTTAGGTATGTCTGCTATCTGTGGCATAAACTATGAGGAGGAGGGAAAGTTTATTTCTAAAGGCTTATAAAGTTCATCTCCTTCTTCGTAGATATTCATCTATATACTACTTACCATTGCAGTATTCATTCTGAATGATCATGTGGTCATCTTCTGCCCATGAGGAATAGTAACGTACCACATGGGGGTGATGCCCAAGCACTGCATGCGCATAAACTTCATGCAAAGCCAAATTCCTATGAGACAGAAAAGCATTGAGGAATAAAGACACCAATCAACATAATGTACACAAAAATGTTTCTTAAAACTATGAGGCTTTATTAGCAATGGCAGAATATTTATTGAGAGCACACTGCTTGCTATTTTATCTCACTGAATCTTAATAATCATTTGGTAATATACAGTGGAAAGGATGAAGGCTCTCGAAAGTAAGTGGCCCAAAATCGAACTGGTAATAGTAGACTTAAGAGCAGAACCTTGGTCAGCCTGGTGCCAAAGTCCATTGTGTTTTGATTTTAACATGGCATATGTAAAGAGGAGCTTTAAGTGGTTATGCCTCAATGGCAGATGCGCGTCAGGTCTTCATTTCATCCTGTCACAATCAAAACATTTTAATGGGCTTAACGAGAAGGCCACTGTACACCAGATTGTAGATATTGTAAAGGGCCTTCGATTCATCTCTATAAAGGCCAGGCAGTCATTAGAGTCAGTGTTAACCTCAGCCAATATGACATACTCACAGGAACAGCCTTGGGGAGAGATATTCCTTATGGAATAGAAAATCCCAACACAAATTAAGCAAAATAGAGTATTTGACAAATCTCATAAAAATGAGGAACTAGCCAGGTGTGGTGGCACATGCCTGTAGTCCCAGCTACTTGGGAGACTAAGGCAGGAGAATCACTTGAACCTGGGAGGCAAAGGTTACAGTGAGCCACGATGGTGCCACTGCATTCCAGCCTGGGCAGCAGAGCTAGATTCCATCTCAAAAAAAAAAAAAATTCTAAAACCTGTAATTCTAGATTCTGCGTGTTAAGTATATCCTCACAGTTCATAAAAAGCATTGGCTGAATCTGAAAATATGTATTTTCCTTGTTATTAAGGAAAAACTTTTGAACAGTTCTGGGAATCAAACTTATTTTCCCTTGCATGCAGTCTCTGAAACTTTACTATTGAATTCATTGTTAACATAAAGTAAAGATAAACCAGTGAGTTTATAATAACTTTCTATTTGGTAATATTTCTGATAAATGAAACAGACACCAGAGGACAATTCCACACATCTATTCTTTTTTTTTTTTTTTTTTTTTTTTTTAAGTCAGAAAGACCAGCAGTGGAAAGTAAAAGCCACAAGAACAAAAGCAACAAAAACAAAAAAACACAAACACATCATGATCAGCCAGGTGCTCACACCTGTAATCCCAGCACTTTGGGAGGCCAAGGCAGGCAGATCACGATATCAAGAGATCGAGACCATCCTGGCCAACATGGTGAAACCCCATCTCTCCTAAAAATACAAAAATTAGCCAGGTGTGGTGGTGCATGCCTGTAGTCTCAGCTACTTAGGAGGCTGATGCAGGAGAATTGCTTGATCCCGGGAGGTGGAGATTGCTGTGAGCCAAGATCGCACCACTGCACTCTAGCCTGGTGACAGACTGAGATTCCGTCACAGAAAAAAATAAATACATAAAAATTAAAAAATAAAGAAAAGCATCATGATCTAAAATTATCATGTTATATTTTAGGAAGTAACATCTCTGAGCTGGAAAACTCAGAAAGGTTATGAATATGAGACAACATGTAATGTGGGGTGATTTTAAAATACAAATGATTTTTAACGACATCGATGCTATAAATTCAAAATAATTTGACAAGAAACAGCTCTCCAAATCTAAATTTATACTTTTAGTGCATTTCAAAGGTACTCACTCATTTGATAATTCTGCAAAAGTTTTCATAGAGCGCTTTATTGCGTAAACACATCCATCCAGCCTCTTAATGCACTTGTAGACTGTACCAAATTCGCCAACACCAATTTTTTCCACCTCCAAGAATTCTTTTTCGTAGCGGGAAGCCATGTTGGTTTCTCTTAAAACACATCTCTAAAGTATTTTAATAAAAAGGAAATTAGAGTAATTCTAACATGTTGTAAAGCAATAAAATTAAACAATATTACAGTCCTAAATTGCTCCAAATTTTCAAAAACACTTTTGAGGTGATTGCAATGAATTCTACCTGTGTCAATATTCATGGTAGCAAGAATCTGCCCAATTGCTGACTATCTTCTTTGTTTTCTTTGTAACCTTCTGTACAACCCTATACTGACAATTCTCACTTATTTTTCAATATTCTTTTCTCTATCTGGGCATACTGTTCTTTTCTACATGTTCCTAAGGGGACACAACTTCTCACACCCAGAGCTACTGTCCTTAATTCAAAAAATAACTGGGACCTGGGTGGAGCAAATTAAAAGAAATGAAAGACCCCTCTTCTTTACGTGTCTCAAAGTCGGAATGCTAATGTTTCCATCTCAAGCTGAATAAGCATACTTGTTTTCTGTTTCTTTTCCCAAAAAACCAGCCTGTAGAAATGATCTTGTCAAAATCGTCAAACTTTGACAATTTTGGTTAGTTCAGACTATGTGTTCAGGTCTAGCAACCACTCCCACTACTGGCTAACTAGCAATATCACTCATTGCCCAGTTAGTAAATAACCCCAGGTCAATCTGAACTCCTTTCAGTTTTTCCATCTGTGAGATGAAGATCATGGCAACTACTCTTCAGGGTTCTTTTAAATATTACATGATAATATACAGTATTACATATAGTACACATAACACGTACCTTAGGATAGTGTCAAGTACATAGTAAATTCTAATTAAACTATTATGACCTAAAAATCTCCATAAATTTATCAGTCTAAATCCAAGCTGACTGATCTTCCAAAGTCACCTTTTCTCAGTGTCCCAATCCTGAAGAATTTTTCTCCAACTTTATGAGTTTGAAAAATCTTGAGTTTTACTACTTCCTCATTTTCAACATCTAATTCCAATCACTTTCATCAGTAAGATCTCTAATTTTCATTACCCTTAGCCAGTCTCAAGCTCTGTTCCCTTCTTGTTTGGATTTGCTACAGCTACCAGCCCTCTCTTCAACTCTTCTAATAGTAAGAGTTATTTTTGCAAAATGATACCATAGAATCAGAGATACCTAATTGTTTCCCATGAGAAATTCAAACTCCTGATAAGAAAGCCTCAAGACCTTCTACCAACTGCACACTCACTACTTGACTACCCTCCCCCTAGATACCAACGAAGCCAGTGTACCATCTGCATCTATCCCTGACCACTCCCCTCCCACCCTGCCCCCTTACACATGAACTCTGTTCTCCTGCCTTGATAGCATTAAGTTGTTTACTTCCTTAGCCTAAAATTATCTTAATATACAATCTCTTCCTACCCAAGTCCTATTTCATAGAAGTATTTACTAACCCCTTCTAGATTTTAAATATATACACGCATATGTATATTCACATTGCACATATGTACATACACATATACACAAATACACATATCTCATAGCTTATTTATGTATAGATTGTTTTGAAATTTCAAAGGTTTTAACTTCTGTTTGGGCAGATTTTTTTCCTTAAAGGGTCTAACTAAATACAATGCTTTGCACTTATTTAATGTTCAATAAACATTAGAATTTCTATCTGAAATCAAGAGATAAATTATAAAATAAGTGAGGAATAAAATCCAAGAGTAAAATAATGAAGGCCTAAGTCAGAAACATTTGCATATGAAGGAAAGACTGTGCCAGTGGCCTTCTTTTCTATGATGTCTACAACAGCCAAGTGCTAACATTTTTAACATATTAACACATTTATTTATGCAAATAAAACTTGCTTCAGAAAACTTTAGAAATTTAAAGGAAAAACAAATATTAAATTTCCACCTTTCAAAAATGTTGAAATAGCAGTGGTTATAGCTGCATTTCATTCTCCCTGTGATTAATGTGCAATAGGTAGTTATGGTCATTCAGGATATAAAACTTTTGAGTCTTTTCACTCTGAACGTTGAACATACACATGTTTTCAAGGTATTATAAACATCTTAATGGCAATTTAATACTCCACTGAGCATTAAATTAACAATATTACATTAAAACTGTAATCAGCTTAGCCATTTTTCTATTATAAGGCATTTGGTCTCCCCCCTGTTTTGCTATTACAATCAGCATCTCTGAGGATAATATTTACAGTATTTTTTTTAGGTTAGATTATCAAATGAGGGATAGATCAAAGGTTGTGAACATTATAAAATCAAATATTAATACATTTAAAAGCTAAAAATTTACATATAAATCTCTGGCTCTATGCCATTTTTTTCCAATTCTCTTTTTCTATTTTGAGACCAAAAATATTTTAATTTTCCCTCCACTTCTCTACCCCATGAGTGTAGAATTTTTCTCCAGATTAAAGATAGAAGCAGAAATACTTAATTTTAAAATACTCTAAAGTAATGATTCAGCATATACATATCAGACACTGCCTGGCAAAGTTACAACTCGTGGAGAACATAGACCCTGAGTAGGGTCCAGATAAATTCAGCTGCAAAGCACATTTACAAAGCTAGAGTGTGAGGTGGGGTGGGGTGGGGAGGGGAGGAGAGAAGGAAAGTAGGAGAAAGGAGGGGAGGAGGGGAGATGGGGAAGAGAGGGCAGAAGGAGCAGGCCAGAAGGAGAGGGTAGAAGAAGGGGAGGGAGTGTGCAGGACAAAGGCAAGAAGGGGAGGGTGAGGGAGGAGAAAAGGGAGGATAGGGAAGAAGGGAGGAGGGAGGAGAGAGAGGGAGAAGGGGAGGGGAAGGAGAGAGAGAATAGGATAAACTGCCTATGTTGTGGCAGCTGAGCCAAAGAACCATGCTTACCTTGGCAGGTAGTCCTCCTCCCTTGCCTTCCTCTGGACCAGCTTCCTCACTTAAAGAAAAAAAAAAGTTTATCAATATATAATTAATATTTATTGAGCCTGAACTATGCTAGGTTCTAGGGATGTAAGAGTAAATAAGACAATCATTTTCTCTTTGGTTTAAATGTGGAGGCAGGGATAACCAGGACATTTCAATACAAGAACCTAGAACAGGATAAGATAGCAAGGATACCATGGACAGCACTCAATTATTTCAAGAGTAAAAAGCTTTCCCAGAAGGGAGAATATATAAGCCAAGATTCTGGGAATGAGTAGGAACTAGGAAAGGGAAAAGAGTGAGGTTTTCAGCAGGTAGAACACCATGTGCTGGAGCAAGACAGCACAGAACATATGTGAAACTGTTAAATGGGTATCGTCATCCACAAACTAGGAAACCAAGACAGAGAGAGGTTAAATAACTCTAGGTCAAACAATTAGCAAGTGGCAGAACTTGGACTTGGAGCCAGGTCTGACGCCAAAGCATTTGCTCCTCACTGCCACACCACACTCTCCTTCCAACACCCACCCCTCCCCCAGAATCTGGCTTTGTAATCAGTTCACAGGTAGACTACAAGTAGGGCAGAATCTGCTATAACCCGGGATAAGATATTTTCAATTACTCTTAAATAAGCTAAGTGACCAGCAGACATCCTCTTTGCCACACATACTTGTATTCTGGATCCTTAAGCAAGATTTCAACCAGCTATAGATTTTTCTTTTGGAGAAACACAAGGTAGAAATGGCAAATGGAGGGCACTACATTCATGGAACTAAATCGATGCTTGGTATTTGTGATTTAGTACCACATTATAATACTTTATGAAGTGTTTTATAAATTATAAAAATAAGGAAAAATACTCTTAGAAGCACCAAATGACACTACAAAAGTGTCACCACTTTCATTGCCAAGATTTCAAATCAGCTGTCTTTGTTCCTGGCTTCAGTGAGAGTGTAATGATTTACAAAGACTCCTAAAGAACTAAAAACCAATCGAATTCTTGGTAACCAAAGTAGGTGAGTAGACTTGTGCTGAAGTGCTGTTTACTTAAGTAAGAAGGAGATAGTGTTGAGAGAACCTATTCTGGTCAAAGACTGATTAACACATACTCATTGATTCCAAAGAAACAACTTGACATAGCACATTAAACACTCTGCAAAGTTTACATTGTTAGCTGTCCATTTATTTTGCTGAGTACATATGAACATAAATGACTGCCCCACTTTGGAAGTGATTCCATTCTATAAAGGCCTTGAAGAGACATAGTCATGTTCCTGAGTAATATGCACAATCCTTATTTGGACAATTTCTGTCATTCAGGGGCCTTTATGGAATAGTGCAGTTTGGCTTTCTATTCTTTGGCAGCTCTGAAAGCAATGCTTTTTTGCTTCAGCCGATCTTTGATCACCCACAGAGAAGTTCAAATCCTTGCTCTGTAGCTTTCATCACTAGTCACACAAGACTCAAAGCAGCAACATGCTCTTTGAAGTTTGAACTACACCTTCCACAACTGCCAGCCTCATATTAACCAGAGGGGGCCCCTTGAAGGCAATTCCACAGCCCACTCAACTTCCTAATAGAAGCCAGAAATCTATTGCTTATTCTGTCTTGTTCTTTTATAGAGAAAGCATCTTCAGTACACGTCAGAATGGAAAGATGTTAGAATCTCTGGGATAAAGCAGATAAAACCAGCAATGATATCTAGGGAGGGGAGAATATGTAAGCATATACATTTCATTCAGATAGAGTTCTCATTCCTAATCTTACTTTAACACTCACTTCTTACCGCTTGACTGTAGTAGGGTCAGTTCTCAAAAGTCATAAGTAATAGAGCACTTACAGATCTCCTCGCATTTTCCTCTTGCCACCAGATTGAAGGAATAATTTTCTATAGGACTCTGGAGTGAAGGGATTAATATTGACCAGAGCCAATGAGGTCATCTCATCCTTCAGGGGAGCAGGTGTGAGCTTCAAATGCTTAGGGCCCCTGGAGGGAAGCTTCCCTGTTGGAGAAATCGCCAACCGGCTCAGCATGCTCTGAATGAGGATGACAAAAGACAAGTCATAATAGCGTTAGTAAAGACATTCCGTATCAGTTAGCTAGTTAATATTTGAATCGAAGAATGCTTTTGCTGAAGGGGCCTTAGAGATTATCTGGTTCCATGCGAACTAGTTGCATTGTAACTGCTCTTCTTATGAAAACTACAGAATCCCAGTCTCTGCCTCTAGATATTCTGATTCATGAAGTCAACACAGGAGTCTATACTTTAGTCAAACTCTAACCCTTCCCCTGGGCAATTCTGTCAGCTGGCTATGAAAACCAGTTGTAGTCCTATCTCCAGTTTTTAAAGACAAAGACATTAAGTTTAGACAAATAAAAATGACTATATTCTCACAGCTTATGCTTTAACTTCCTCTCAATTATTCATCCAAATATTTGTTTGGTGCCTACTACGTAGCAGATGCTGGGTTAGATGCCAAGTGGTACAGAAGTGAATTCTAAATCTTAAGGAATATATAGTTCATTATTCAGCAGTTCATCAGTGTTTCAGAAATAATCACCTTATAAGAAAAAGATTTCATAGACTATTTAAACATGAAAAAAAGTTTTAAATTTCACTTAAAATATAGCATTAACTGAGGAGTGCTTCATGAAGTGGGGTAATTAGATTGAAAATTAGTACTCTAAGCCCTTAAGATTCAGATCTTTGCAGTGGCTACAACCAGCTACCAATAAATAGGCAAATGTGCAGGACTTACCACTCCAAGCGGGATACAAGAAGAGAACATCAGCCTAAACCTAACCAGAATGAAACCAAAGGGCAAAGGGAAAAGCCAAAGAATTCGAAGGCAGAATGCTGACCTGATGTCAGGGGCCAGAGGAGTAGCTGTGTTATGGATCTTCAGGAGTATGGCAGCACACACAGGGGCCACAGTATAAGCATTGCACTGTGAGGCTCTTTCTAAAAGACTTCTACAGTTCTGATTGTCTCTGCGCATGATATTTTAGTGTAGCAGCAGAAGCCAGATTGCATGATTCATTAAAGAATGTGAGTCTACAAAAAATGAATATTGGATCTATTGTAAATACTAAAGAAATGATTGAATAAGCAGTAATGAAGGAAGCTATGGAAAATCACAGTAACCTAGCCTTTTTTGTTTTAAAACTGAAGAAAAATGATGTCATTGCCAGACTTAAGTGTTTCTCATATCTTGGAGTTCATAGGGCTGCTTGAAGAATCCAGGGGGCAGACAAGCCCTTGTTGACAGACTCACAGCTTTCCTGTGTGTTTATCATGAAGACTGAGTATTGGTTCAAAATAAGCGAAACTATAATGATATTTCTCAGTTATCAGTGCGATTTGCAAAATGGACCTAGAATTTTGTTGTAAGTCATTCTGAGAATTAGTTTTTTGTAATGCTGATTATCATATGGAAAGTAAAATGCATCTATTACATATGAAACAGTGGGTAGCCACACCTGGAATGCAGCACATAGTTCTAGTTGCCACATCAAGGAAAATATAAGGGGCCTAGAAAATATTCAGATAAAAATTATTCATATCAGGGAAGACTAGATTTTCTAGTCAGGGAATATGAGGGCCAAGAGAATCTGTGAGCACCACTTATGATGTAGGGAAGGATATTAATTATGTTAATATAGTCATTATTGCTGGAATAGTAGAATTATGAGTAATCCTTTCAAAATCTCAAAGAACATAGTTTGGGACAAGACATATGGAAAGAACTTCTGCTTAGAAGTACAGCAATTTGAAAATTTATTGAAAGATGACACAGGTTGAGAGTATAAATGTGCTCCAGAGAGGGCAAATAATTCTATGAGGAATAGCTCTAGCACAGATGATTGAAGGAGATTGGGGAAATTTGGCAGATAGCTACTTGACTTATGAAGATGGTGAGAAGAGAAGGCAACCTCTCACAAACACACAAACATAGTATCTTGGGACACAGGAGGATTTTAAAGGCCCAGTCAATACAATTAGCCCCCTGATGCTTGAATCCTGATATTATTGGGATGTTTGGATTTTTTAAAGGCCCAGTCAATATGATTAGTCCCCTGATGCTTGAATCCTGATACCATTTGGATATCATGTTGAAATATAATCCCCAGTGCCGGAGATAGGGCCTGGTGGGTGGCATTTGGATTATAGAGGTGGGTTCCTTGGTGCCATCCTCATGGTAATGAACCAGTTCTCATTTTGTTAGTTCACGCCAGATCTGGTTGTTTAAAAGAGCCTGACAGCAATCCTTCCTGTCTTGCTTCCACTCTCTCACTTCTTCTCTCACCATGTAACAAGCTGCCTCGTTTCTGCTCACCTTGTGCCATGATTGTCAACTTCCTGAGGCCCTCACCAGAAGCAGATATGGGCAATATGCTTACTGTACAGCCTGCAGAACTGTAAGCCAGATAAACCTCTTTTCTTTATAATCTACCCAGTCTCAGGTATTCCTTTGTAGCAAGGCAAACACACTAACAAATCCCTTCTGCAGTATTCCTACCAAGTGGTCATCAATGAGTGTTCTATGCTTTTAGCCACAGGGAGCGTACACCTCCTAAGCATGCTCTTCTATCTCTAGATGATTCTGTCAGGAAGTCCTTACAGTGAACTGAATTTCACATGATTTCTGGTTCAATCCCTCGGACAAGACTGACTAAGCCAATCCTCCTTTCCCATCAGCTTTGTCTTCTGCATAACAATGATCAGCCGCCAAGCCTCTTTCCTCTAACACAAACTATGTTTGCATAAAGTATGTACTTTCCCAGTTGCATTTCACTTTTGCTCCCAAGCCCTGTTCTTTGCCTCTCCCTTAAACCTTGGCATTATCCAAGATTTCTAACTGGGCCATTTCTCTCCTTACTCTGGCACTCAGGCTATGTGACCTTATCTCCACCCATGGCTTCAACTACTTCCTAAATGCTGTAGATATCCAAATATGGATCTCCAATTTTCATTGTTTTCTTGTGCCCCAGATCCAGTTATCCAACTTTTTATACCACGTCTCTGCTTTTCTCCAAACCCGTATATTCCTCAGTGTCACCTATCTTGATTCCATCTACTGAACCAAGCAAGAAACCTCAGTCATCAGATTGTTTTCTTTTTCCCTGAACCCCTCCATCAAGTCATCTCTTAATTTTTCACTGTCTGTCCCAGTCCAGGCTCTTCTCTGTTCAACAGGTCTATTCTGAATACTGCTGTACCTCCAGGCTCTCTCATGCTCCATCCCATCATACATACAAAGGTCATGATTTTTCCAAAACAATCCCCCTACTCAAAACCATGGTAATGGCTCTCTCGACACTCTCAGGATTAAAATCTTGATCTAACTTCTGCCCACCTACACTGGCCTCATCTCTTGTGCTCTCTCACACACAGGCTCCTGTAACACTGAATAACACGCTGTTTTCCAAGTGTAGTAGCTCCTTACCCTCTGTAACTTGATAGATGCTTTCCCCTTTGCCTAGAATTCCTATTCCCCTCTTTGCCTGGCTAACTAAATATCCTTTAAGACATCGTTCAAACATTACTTTCTTTGGAAAGTCTTCCCTGAGAGAGATTTAATTCCTAATTCCTTCTCATCATGCTCAACCATTCCTCTAGTACACATGGTTTGAACTTTATTGTTTCATTTATTTAATCTTTATTCATTTTGTGGGCTCTTTTTGAAGGCAGTGAATGGGTTTTGCCAGCAGAGGGTCTGCTAACATATCAAGGTGTTCAGTTAAGCTGTGAATGATCAAATGAATGTCATGTTTTCTTCCCTGTGTACTCTCACTCAAAGCCACATTCTCTCAGCCCATTCTCCCCCATATATCAAAACTGGACCAACTTTCGTTGCCCTTCTGATACCTGTCTTTTCTGATCACTGCACTGAGAATGTGTCCAGCGGGTTCTGACCACACTTATCACATAGTATCTATTGGCATAACTTCTCTTTGCTAGACTGTAAGCTCTTTGAGGGCAGAGACTGTATTATACGCTCCTTACCTACAGGGAATTCTCAAAGAGTAAATGGGTGATTAATTGGTTGGTGCTGTGACCATTGAAAAACCCAGAGATAGACATCAGAGCATATTAGTTTTTCTACAATTCAAACAAGCAGCTTAGAATTTCCTGGTATACATGGTACCCACACCCAGCAGGTACTAAAGAGACCTGCTGACAGCAACTGTGCCGCAGTCAGGATCACAGATGTTATGATGATGATCTTAAGTGCCTCAAGCTGAGCCAGCAGGAAGCAGAGCTAATACCAATCCTAGCACTCACACATCATGGCACCAGAGTTGATTAGAGGTAACCCTGCCCCAACTATGGCTTTAATAACATGAACGATGCAACAAGACACCAATCACAACAAGAATAAAGGAATATGCTACCAGGGACTGTTGCTTATTTGCCATCCTCAGCTTATAAAGAAGTATCAACAAGTTTCGTCTTTGCTGACATATAATAGAACCTGTATTTCACGAGACCAAGGAGGGGAGAGGAGTTTCTTCTGGGAGGAGCAGCAGCAGAGAGATGAATGTGTTCGATATTAGAAAGTATTAGTAAATAATCACACAAAAATAGAGCCAGTTGGCGTAATGGAAAGAACAGACTAGGCCAAAAAGATCAGGTTTCTAGTCCTGTCTCTAACATTGGCTGAGCTGTGAGACAGCTTCTGTCCTGGGCCCTTCATTTTCTCATATGTAAAGTGCACAGCTGGGGCTCTAAATCTCAATATTCCTTCCAGTTCCAATATTCTTTAGGAACTTTTTTCTACCCAAAATTTGTTTGTGGCCAATAGCCAATAGTTACTGGCACCAATGGTTTTGAGAAAGACAACTGGCAAACCATTTAATTCTGTCCATTTTCTGATAATTTTAATCTCTATTTTCATCAATAAATATGTAATTGAGGACATCCACAGCCTGGAAGTGACTGTCATACACACATGAATCCACTGTCACTATCAGCTAAATTACAGGAAGCGGAGCTTGGCGACCTGGGTCCATTTTCCCCCACCCCTTACTTACTTTGGGAGTAGAGGGGCTGTCACCCGGCAGCAGCTTGCTCCTGCTGTCTTCTTGGGCTGGTGTCTCAGGACATTTGAGAGGATGTGACACTGGAGTCCTCAAAATCTGATCTGGACTTTCGTTGTCTTTTTCCCAAGATGTGTCGAGCTCCTGCACGTTGCTAAGGGGAGTCCAAGGTGGTGTACCCTTTGCCTCTGAATCCTGCACTTCACCCTTCTCTGGGGTTTGGCTCGAAGCCTCCCTGCTTTCTTGTGCTTTCTTCTGCCCTTCAATCTCAGTCTCCTCACAATAGGAAAAGTTTAATTTCTGTCTTGGTTCTTTGTCAATATCTTTGTCATCCATCTCAGCCAAAGAGCTTTACAACACAGGCAAAAAACTCTATCAGAAGGGAACCCTGTGAACCTACAGAAGCAGGGAGGAGAAAATAATTTAACCTGCAGGTTTTGTGACGGTAGCCTGAATTTCCCTCTACCAACTAACAGCTACAAGGCATGGTGTTAATGTTCTGCCTTAAGTATTACCAATCTATAAGACCTCAGCTTATCTTGATTTCCATTCTGATTAAAGAAAGCTCCAGTGACTCTCGGAGCAATTAAGTGCAGTTCATGTACAGAACTCTTCTGGATATGACACGTAGTCTCCTTGAACCCATGTGCTACCAAATACTAGTGAGAAAACTGGATTCCTTTAATTTAGCCTGGCTTTAAACATACCCGTTAGCCAATTTGGGAATAAGCTCATATTGAAAACAAATTATTTTCACTCCTTACACCTGCCATTTATAAATATCACCCTCCCCTCCATTCTTCTCCCCACCCACCCAATGGCTAACAGCAGGTAATTACAATTTAGCATCACCTGGCTATCATAATGATCCTTAAACAGCCTCTAACATATCTTGACTGGAGTTTGTATCCCTGACAGAGACACAGCTTAGCTCTGTGCCAAACACACCTGCCCTAATTCAGGCATCTCCCTCCTGCAGCTGTTGGCTGTTAGCAGTTAAAGCTTCTAGGGAATTGAACAAAAATTTAAACTGACAAAAGAAAGGCTAGAAAGATCAGCAACACATAGAAACAGATATTGATCACTGGAAAACAGCAATGGCTTTTACCAAAAATGCCTTATTTTGTAAAACGCTCTTTAATATCTTTAGTACACGTTATTTAATTTCTTTCTCAGAGAAGCCCCCATGAGGATGAAAAACTCTTTGAAGAAAAAAACGACTGTTATACAATCCAGCTGTCTCTCTTCTCTTCCAGTTATATAGCCAAAGAAAATAAAATCATTATCTCAAAAAAATACCAACACTCCCATGTTCATTGCAGCATTATCCACAACAGCCAAGATATGGAAACTACCTAAATATCCATGGACAGATGAGTAAAGAAAACGCAGTGGATACACACACACACACACACACACACAATAGAATATTACTCATTCATATAAAAGGAAAGTCTGCCGTTTGTGACAATATGGATGAACCCGGAGCACATTATGTTAAAGTGAAATAAGCCAGGCACAGAAAGACAGATACTACATGATCTTACTTATATGTGGAATCTAAAACAGTCGAACTCCTAGAGGGAGGGAGGAGAATGGTGGTTACCAGGATCTGGAAAGGCAGGGGAAATAGGGAGATGCTGATCAAAGGGTACACACTTTCAGATATAAGATGAACAATTCTGGGGACCTAATGTACAGCATGGGTGGGCATGGGTGTGGTAATTTTTTGGTAATCATTACACAATGCATAGGTATATCAAAGGAAAAAGGCCTCACTGATATCACATTATAGGGGAAAACTACGTGAGAGGCAGTCCATGTAAAAGGAAAATGATACACTCGTGCCCCTCAAGGAGGCTTCAGAGGGACGGCAAATGAGAAATTATTTACATGATAAACATGGGCCCAAAGAGAGACAGGAACCAAGGCAGCTTGATGAGTTTGAAACAAATGTTATTTCTCTTCTCTTTACAGACTTTGATACCTGTCAAGCCTCTTCCATTTACCTCTCTTCACAGATCTCTCCACCACTTTCTCCTAATTCCTTCCCCATTCCCAACCAGAACTCCTGACGAGGGCAATCCAAATGAAAACTAACTGGGGAGACTTGAATGTGTTTTTTCAGCTCAAAGCCTTCTCATGCTGCAGCCCTTTGTAGGTGGGCACACCAATTCATCCTTCCTTGGCCCTTCTCCACAGCCTCCCACCCACACAAACTATGCCAGATAATTCAACAGGGGGTAAAATATTGCTCACAAAATGCAATCACTCACTGCCCACCTTTGCCAGAGATTCAGCATCCTACAGGGGCAAAAAAAAAAAAAAAAAAAAAAAAAAAAAAAAAAAACCAGAATAATCTAAGAAAAAGGAGAACTTGTAGGTTACCAGTAATGCAATTATTATCAACTGGGATTCTCAGCCTAGGAGTGTCTTGTTTACAAATTAGCAAGCCAGGTGATAGAATTTCTTTTCTACAGCCTTGATGTTGATCAATTTCCCCTCCCATTCCATGGCTTGTCATTCCTGCCTCTCCAGGCCAGCTAGAGGCTGGCTTTGCTCTCAGTAAAGCAGGACTGACTCAAAACACCTGCTATATTATTGTCCTGGAGGCAGGGCACAGGGGCTGGTTTATTGGGTATTACCCAAGTAGACCAGGTTTTCTTTTTTTTTTTTTTTTTTGTCACCTGCTGCTTTTTCTCTCTCCCTTGCTATACTTCTTGATTACCCATATTTATGACTACATTGTTTGCCTAGGGAGGCAGCTATGCTATTGCAATGCTTGAGATCTCATGTTATCAGCAGTAATACTGTTAGAAACTTGGACCATTCACCTTTTCATGTATTGTGACTTAGAAGATAATGATTGTGGCTAAGTCTTCAGAATAAGAAAGGTGTAACAATGAGCACAAAAAAGATATTCCAAATTTGGACAACTAAATAATAAGAATTGCATAGTTAACTGATCTGGATGACCCAAGGGAATCCCTAGAGGTGCTACCTATGGCCTCACTATTTTTTTGGTCATGTTGTAGCCTTTTCTTAATTTTTAGCCTCTTTCCATTATGAAAAATTTTATCTCTGCTTCAGTATATGTTAATCCCACAGGCATCCATCCTGACATAAACCTTCAGGTCATAGTTGAGATGATGTGTCAAAAGGGGGACCCATGTAATCTGTGGCAATAAAGGAGAGGGTTTTCCCTTTAATGCCTGACATATAGTAGGGGTTTAATAAATTGTTTTAGGATGAATTTGGGGAAGTAAATTAATATATTTCAATCATGTTTAAAATACTCTGTATTTGACTTTTTTAAAAAAGCGTTTGAGTTTTTTTCTCAATATGTCAGGAGTTGATGCACAGGGGGAAAGCGAAGTTCCCAGGAAAAAGATGTGCAAGAAGGAGGCCACCCTTGCATTTCAGGGCTGAGTTCCCTAAACTGTGTGCTTGAAGGAAGTTCGCCCCTTGCAGACACACTGCTGAGTGATAAGGAAGCACCTAGACTCCACTATGACCAGACTGGGTTCTGAGGCCTATGAAATGTTGATGGGAAGAACAGAAGCAGGAAAATCTATCTATTCAAATTTGCAAGAGGTGGAAACTTTTATTCACCTTCCTGGATAGACTGTCCCGTTGTCAAAGTAAAGCTAAGGCCATGGAAAATGAGCTATTTGAGAGTCTGTCGCTCCAAGGAAGAACATGCTGGCCTAATTGTCCCCTCAGTCAGGGGAGAGAATTGTAAAAAAAACACTTAAACGGGCCTAAGTAAAGATCCAGCACATTATTTATTTAAGACTGAATTAGGACTGAGTCATTCCAACTCCGAAAAAAGAATGTTGTTGGATTCTTACATATTTGATGGACCGTCCCATTGAAAACCATTGTGAAGTCTGGTTTCCCAAGCACGAAATGACAATTTCACTGTCAGTCTTTCTAGGAATCTGGCAGAATCCAGGACCGGGATTAGCCTTATTTTTTAAGCGACCTTAGACTAACAGTGGCTCTCTGGGCCTCCAGACAATTGGCCAGGGACTCTGAAAGCCAGAAACAAAGTTGAGAGAACTCCAGGCTGGTGGAGAAAAACAGCTGGCCTTCATCACCAGAATGTGCCCCATAGAAGCAAGAAAGCAGCAAGTGAGGTTCTTAAACGAGGGCCTGCGGGCCTCATCAAGATCTGGAGGAGTCATCTGCAACTTACTGCTGAGTGAGAAGGCTAGGCAGTGTCTTTAAGGTCCTGCCAGCTTTAACATTGTATGCTCTCTTTTTCTTTTGTCCAATCTCTCACCACAACTGGAAGTGTTGCCTCAACTACACAGGAGAAAGTTTGCAGTAACTTAGAGAAAACATTATTTTAATCACCAGCGTATGTTCTCTCGCTCCCTGGACAAATCCATCAGCAGTGGCAACACTGACCAGGTCCAGATTGGGGCCGCTGCAGTGGATGTGGATCCATTGAAACCAGGGGTCTCCAGTGCTCCTGACTCCTCACAGCTCTGTTCCTATGACAAGGATGGTCAGCAAAGCCAGCAACCTTGAAGGGGGACCTTCTCCTAATCTCCCTGCCTGCTGAGAGAGTGTTCAGAAGCAGCCACCTGTCAGCTGCGATGAATCCAATGATAATTACATAAATCATTAACAATACTTGATATTTTCCCATCACATTTCTCATTTCAAACTGCTCATAAAACTGTATCTCATGGGTGGCGTTGCCGGCACAACAGAATTCCAAGGAAAGATTATGGGATAAGTAAATAAAGCCTGGAGGTTGCTTTAAAGCGTAGGAGTCTATTATTAACACTTTCTCCATTTTATTTAACTTTTTCTTCTGGAAGTGTTCAAACATACCAAAAATAGAGAAAATATTAAAATGAATCCTTATGTGTCCAAAACCTAGCTTCAAAAATTATGTATGGCTTTACAGTCTTGTTTCGTTCATACCTGCAACTTCATTGAGGGTGAGTGTTGGGGTATTCTGAAGCAAATCAGTGACAACTTATTTTACCCATGGACACTTTGGTGTCATTAATAAAAACCTCTAGGTTATGCTATTAATTTGAAATCTACTATAAATCTATCTGATGAATAAATCAAACAGATTTTAACAAACTGCTTCTCTTGCCAAATATTCCCATTTGCTAGAACTAGAGATTATTCATCAAAATAGCTGTGACAGTAGAAACACACCACTTGTCTACTCACACAAGACATAGCATTCTTAGACTAGGAATAGGTCTCTGATTTGATGTCCCAGTAATTTAGAGATTGATGATATCCTACCAATAGTTTAAGGAGCATACGTTTTAAAACGATGGTATAGACCCACTAGTCTGACCTTCTCTCTGTTAGTCACAGTTGGGCTGTGGTCATTCCCAGATTCCCTAACATTAGAACAGGTAATAGGTCACCTGTGTGACCTGCACCAAGACCAGCCCCACAGCCCCCAGCCACAGAAATAAGATCTCTCTCTCTCTCTCTCTCTCTCTCTCTGTGTGTGTGTGTGTGTGTGTGTGTGTGTATGTCTGTTTCTGCCTCTCCCACATCACTCACACACACAGACACACACACACACACTGCCTCGCTGGGAAGAAATGAGCAGATATGGAAGAGACATTCTCAGAGATGGATCTCTACTGTG